GCTACTGAATGTGCTGCTCTTTTTCGTTCTTTTGGGCTTCGGGCAAGGATAGTGGATTTTGGTCCAAAGAACCTTGAATCACTCTTTCTATCTGTTCCTGGTTCTAGAATAGACTCACAAAGCGTAAGAGCAAGAGAAAAAGGGAATGCAGTTCGGATTCATGGCCCAATGGATAGATATTTGGCCAAGAGGAAACAGATTTCCCCTGAAGTTTGTTCCTCCATAGGACGCGCTGGCTGTTCTTACATTCAGCACGATCAAGTTTCAGATAGCAGTAATGAGGATCTGGGCATAAGTGCTGCCAGATCTAGTAAGGGTCAGGTGGTCCTTACTGATTGGGTGTGGAGATACTTTTCAGATAAAAGCTTCATAAATAATTGTTTGAGTTGTGTCCCAATTAGCAGAAAGACGTAAGTGATTGCCTTGATATAATGTTATCCTGATCATATTACTAATGCCTGGATCTCTAGTGTCTGATAAATACTACATTTGAGTGCTTTTGTGAGCAGGCCTCTTTATTTTGAACATGATGGACATTCAAGAACCATCGTTGGGATTCAAGTCAAACATCAACGAAAGGGGATGCAGAAATGCAATCTCTTAGTACTTGACCCTGGTCATGTAAGTATCCACTATCGTGCTAGTGAATTGTTCCTTATCTTTATTTTCAAAAGGTATAAACAAGGCAGGACATGTGCTACTAATACATAATATACTGTTGGATGTGTCCTAGCCTCAGCCAAAAGTGGTGAGTGAACTATGTTTAAGTTAGGACTGGGAGCAATAGACTGTTGTGATGGGATATCAGAAAGCATTGGGAGGTCTTTGTTCCAAGATAGCAATATTGATAGCCTAGTTAGATTTTGCAGTAGAAATTTCAGTTAGCTTTGGAGTAGAGGTGAGCAACCGGCAGGTTCAACCTGGGAACTGCACCCAACCAGCCTCACCCAATTGGTTCCATGCTGGTTCACAAGGGGCACGAGTAGGTTCGTGAGTAAAAAGTCAGAGAACTGGCCTTGACCGGTTTGGTTTCTGGTTTTATGCTGTGATTATAACCTATTTTTACTTTGTAAAAAAATATAACAAATAAGTTAGATATGGGGATCGAATCTGGGTGGCCTAGGTACTCTATCAGTGCTTTAAGCAATTTGCTTAAAGTCGTTGACATGACATGTTATCCTTAATTCACAATTATATGGCTAAAATTTTACAGAGTTGTAGAAAAAAGGGGGCAGAGCCGGTTCCAGGCCGGTTTCTAAGGGACCCTTTTCGGTTCTCAGTTCCAAATACAGGGAACCTGCTCTGACAAGGTAAGTTCTATGTTCCCGGTCTGGAACCTATGTAGCTTGGAGCCAATCTCTCCTATTTTGGAGTGTTCTTAAGACAGCAATATAGGGATCTAATAAAAAGCTATTTCGTATAAAGTTCCTCACTCAAAGCAGAAGTTTTATCATGCTATACCGATGTTTTTGACGGACAAAGGAAACAGAATTGACTAATGAAGCTTGGGGAGGACGAACAAAAGATGCTTCTTATTAAAGTGAGAATTGAATAAGGAACTTTGGGTAGGTCGCAAGTGGAATGCCTCTTCTGAAACTTAAATTTGTTATGAGAGCCTTCTTAAAACATAGGTTGCTGATCTGCTAGAACTTGTATTAAGAAAAGGCACTCTCGCACTCTACCTGAATGTGTGAATACTGATCATGAATATTATCGGCAAAAAAAATTTGAGAATGGGTAGAGGTACTTGGAAGGAAAAAGATCTGAATAATACTATTGGTTTGTCGTTTCTGTTAGCAAGTAATTATGAACCTAGGGTATTGATAAGATTAATCCACTTTAAACACCCCCTCCTCTCGCCCCTGCAAAGGAAAAAATTCACCTACACAAAGGAAGAAAAAAAAGAGAAAGAATCTCACAATTACAATGCGTATAGATAATATTTTGACCTTCCCAGTAGTTTTCAAAACTTTCAGTCTGAGATTTCTTCTCTCAGTTAGAGAGAGATATTGTTGCCCGTTGGTTTAGGAAATTTGAAAGAAGTCTTACTTTTTGCTTCAGAGTAATTAAAAACTCATACTCCTCGTAGAGTGGAGTGGTTGATATCTTTCAGTGTTTTGGATATTCAAGATCCACAATATCCAGTTATTCAGGGGTTATCATACATTGTTTAATTGCCCGAACTATGATCACTTCATTGCACGATGGTCAAAGCCATAGTTCGGTGAGACTTGTGCTTGTTTATTTGCATGCTTGCCAAATATTTTATGAGTTACCTGTGTGTTTATGTAGAGAACAGCTACGCTGGAAAGATCACTGAAAAGAAATGCCGGGTGGCAGAAGCTTATAAAAAGGGGCGTTCATACTCTGAAGAAAGCCACAATACCAGGTTAGACTGTTTTTCTGGGATTTTTTGTTAAATCCTGAGGTCATGACTATGGGCCTGAATTGCCTGATTCAATCATTTGTTTCAGTTGTGTTATATTGATCCTGGAATTGCAAGAGGAGAAGAGTTGGAGCAGCTCAAAACAATGGACAGTGTCTACATCGAAATCTAGAGATGAATAGAAAGTTGTTATGCGCCTCTTTGAAGCATTACCAACCATATTTAAGGTCATGGCGTTTTGGCTTTTGACCGCACATCAAACGAGTAATGATGTAATGTTGCACATAACAAGACCGACGCACTGCTGCCAAGGCGCCATAAAGAAAAGGGCGGTGCTAGACTGTGAGAATGACATGTAAATTGTATATGTATAAGTTGTCTTTAGAATTGATACTTTTAATAAGCTCTAACGCTGGAATGACCTTGAACGAGGATCAAACGGGGCAAGATCTACCTATTTCTCGCCCTATGCTCGAGAAGATAGTCTCTTCCTGGATTTGTGCAGGAAATTTTGGATCTGTCAGGATCCAGGAGCTTAAGTCGGGATCTTGAAATAGATGTGTACATATAAACAAACAAAAAAGAAGAAACTTTGCATTATAGTTTTCTTCCTAGGCGCGACTTTGGTGTCCTCAGTGTTTCTTAAATGCGCTCAACCTACCAGCGCAGCATGGGGTCAGGCATGAATGACCAAGAACTGCTTTGTGACTCAGGTGGACCATGATGTATGGACATAGGACGTGTGCTTGGTCCTAGTTTTGGGGCCCCCTCCAAGAAAAGAATGAAGCTTAGCATGTGTCTTAACTGGACCACATTGATTAGTGTCTCGAGTTAGGCCATTTGTTCTAATTTGGCAAGACTATGAACATACTCAGGGCCAAATGAAGTACGAATCAGTTCTTGCATTTACTCGATGACCTAACCTCATGCGGTGCCTTTCAGTCTTCGTCCACGAGTTGGTTAGACAGAGAGCCAACTTTCATTTATGAAGGGAGCGTAGTAGGCACGTTATTGATTGAGAACCTTGTTTCTGATTTGGCATTGATTGACATAATCAATCACAGTTTAAATGACATCGGGACCCAACTCAGAGGTTGCAAAACGAAAGAGAGGTGTCTTGTTGCACGTCTGGAAGTCCAACGTGTTGAGGGATTTTAATAGAGTTGATGGACTCTGATGCCGCGTCGAAGGATTCAGGCGAGTTTAGGTGCGTGCGTACTTTGGGATGTTTCATTGAGCATGCCTAGCTAGCCAGAAATTACTATCGATCCATTCCAAGATAAATTTTGCAATCATGCTGCTTTAGTACTTAAAATTTGTTTAAGTTGGACATGCATTGCCATTTACTTGCTATTTTGAAAGAGGAACAACAAACTGAATTTATGTTTCGGTGCTATTTCGGATCGAATATAGACACAGTGGTCGCCTAGTAATATAAAGAAAATCGATCTTCTACGTTCCGATGGAGTTGAAGAGTTGGAAATTTCGCCGACATACGATAAAAACTTAAAAAGCTTCAAACACATCACAGATCTGGATTGAATTTGAGTGCGTACGATCCAATTTTAAGCACCAACATATTTACTGATTCCGGAATTGGTATGACCGCATCTACTCTATCCAATTGTCGGAAACTCAGTGGACGACGCAAACCAATACCCTCCTCCATGGATGGAGTGCGCATTGGTTGAAACAAGGCGAATGGTATTTCACCAAACACCACACGCACAAGCATCCTCTCGTGATTTGAATTGATAGCTGCTGCAACAATGGCCTCGAAACCAACAATCCCATCCACTGCAGGTGGTTGCGATGACATTAACTTTTCTGAGCCAAAAAAATAAATGACCCTAACGAAGTCGGGCCTCGCGCATTAAATCACGGGCTGTCCTCATCTCGTGAAAGCGTAGAGCCGGGACCAAGTTCTTTGGTCGTGTCTCCCAACCGAGACAAGCTCAGTATATGCAAACTTTCGATCGTCTCCGTGGCCATAGAAAATGAAAGAAACAACATGTGTTGCACGAGTGTGTGTGTGTCCTTTCGAGAAAGAAAGGGGCGCGAAAAAGTTAGGTGGGAGATTCAACTCGCGTTTGGGATCTCACCCTCCTCGTCGTACTTCGTCTAAACCTGCTCACGCCAGCCCCGAGAGGATCATGTCTTGATACCACCACCACTCGAGCACTAAGAAAGAACAGATCACGTCTCGTTAATTACTGATTAAAGTGGCACTTTCCTGCTCCGACGTGAGCTTGAATGCGATTGCGTTTGCGCCTGACACGCTCGGGCGATCGCATGCCATAAACAAATCTCCACTATCTCCTGACGGAAATATTAAATGTAACTTTGACAGGCGAAACAAATACAGCTTTTGACGAAGATGACGAGTCATTCAAAGCCAGGGTTATTCATTTCTTTCTCCCATGTGCATTGCTTCGCACTTCTGTCATCGTTATTCACGATCGCATTAATTGAATGCGAGAACCCAGGACTCACTTTTGGTTTTACTGCGAAAAAATCTCTAAAGAACCATTTTTTCCAAAGCATGGTCTTAGTCCATTGTCATCAAAATGCGCCCTCTCTGGGACTATTGGAACATTCATCATTAATGCCCAGTTAATGTGACTTTCAAGGCGTTCCCATCACTGTGGTGTTTATGATTATTATAATCCGCACTAGGATTCCCTCTGCGTGTGATCCTGGAGTTCACACTTGAAGACACAGATCAAGCACATGCATCACATTCCAATTTCCAAACACTGCCGAACAATAATGTCCAATTTGTTTACTGGTAGTTGGGGAACGGATGAGATATGAAAGAGGAAAGAGAAAGAGAGATGGACGAGAGTCGCCGCGGTGTTATCAATAACTCGCAACGTTCGTTCCACACTCACACTCGCACCACACAGTCTGGTCTTAAGATACGTGTGACCCGAATCAATACTTTGTTTCGTTTTTTGTTACTATATTATCATTGACGTTGACCCAGATGGACAATAAATGGTGGAGGTGTGGACTAAACAAATCCTTGAAGCCTCAGCACATTACCTGAAGCCTCCCTGTTATGTGTACACAAAGGCAAATCTGAACAGTGGTTCTTTGGTGCGTCTATCTTCCTCGTATCTCGTATCTCTCTCTGTCTCTCTGTCTCGCTGTCAATGGAGGTTCAAGCTCAACTGCAACAAGAAGAAGAATATAATCTGAAAGTGGAAGTGGAGGAAGAGGAAGTGAGTCTACTGAGAAGGCAGTCCACAACGCGAAAATATGGTGTCGATGAAAGTGGTGTTTCTGGGAATGGTAATGGCAGTTCAACCAACGGTAGCACCAGCAACAATCGTACCCATGCAGAAGAAGAGCCAGAAGCAGAACAAGAATTGGTTGAAGAGGTGAATGATGGGAAAAATGGTGTTGAAGAACAAGGACCAGAGACTGAAGCAGAGCAAGGACCAGGTGAAGAAGTGACGAACACACAGACTATTGGCATTTACCAAAACGACCCGGGTGCGTACGGTAACGTTTCTATTTCTGGAAATAATTTCTTTTCAGAAATAGTTTTTTCTATTTCTATTTCCTGAAAGAGTTTCTGAGCAAAATAATGCGTTTGGTAACTGCACAAAATTTCTATTTCTAGAACAGAAATGTGTTTGGTAACTGGACAAAATTTTTATTCCCAATTTTTTTGCATTCAAATCTATATCTTTTATTTAACTATAAGTACAAGTTATAAGTGAAAAAAATCAATAAGCATGATTTATTTGTCTAATCCTTTTTAGGGGTTTAAAACCCCTTTTAATCCATAAACTAAGGAATATTCAAAAATACCACTTAGGCACTTCAAAAATTTAAATTTCACTCAAAATGAGTGGCCACAGATATTCTAAGCCATTATGTGAATTTTTTTTATATTTTTTTGGGGTAAAATTTATTAAAATTTTTTACTTTCCCTAAATTTGTTTCTTTTTATTTTTCAGAAAGTTTTTTATGAAATTTTTTTAATTTTTTCAATTTTGGAATTTTGCAAATATTTAAGGGTTTTCTGAGTTTTTCTGATTTTTATGGATTTTCTGAGAATTTTTCTGATTTATATGAATTTTGGGAATTTTTTAATTTTCTAATTTTTTATGGGATTTTTCTGAAATTTTTCTAATTTTTATGAATTTTCGGAATTTTTTAATTTATTTTAAGCCATTATGTGAATTTTTTATTTTTGTTTTTTTTGGGGAAAAGTTTATTAAAACTTTTTACTTTCCCGAAATTTGTCTCTTTTTATTTTCCAGAAAGCTTTTTATGAATTTTTTTTAATTTTTTCAATTTCGGAATTTTGCAAATTTTTATGGGTTTTCTGAGTTTTTCTGATTTTTATGGATTTTCTGAGAATTTTTATAATTTTTATGAATTTTTTGAATTTTTTGAATTTTTTATAATTTAATTAATTTTTTATAATTTTTTTATTATTTCTGCCAAGAATAGACCGGACCGGTGCTTTGAGACGGTTTGCAAACGACAGAGGATGGAGGAGGAGCTGAGGTCACGGCTTGAGGACCGGACCTTTCTATTTCTATTTCTATTTCTAGAAATAAAGAAGTAAATTTTTTTTACTTTTTATTTCTGCTCCAAATCTATTTCTTGGCCACTTTTCTATTCCAGGAAATAGAAAAATAAAATGCGTTATCAAACGGATTTCTGTTCTTTTTTTGTTCCAGGAAACAGAAGAACAGAAAAATAAAGAAACGGAAGCCTTACCAAACGCCCCTTAACTCACCCACTCACTCGCTCGACTCCATTAGTCTTTTGTCTTTTCCATCGCTTAATCTGATCTGCTTTATTAGCATATTTGTTTTGGACTTAGCATTGGAGGATTAGTTCCATTGAACTCCGTTTGATCCAGCTGGACAAGGTTCCTCTTTGTCTGCGAACCTCCTTTGATTTCTGGGTGATTTTTGAGTTCTTTATTGGTTACACCATCTCGAACCATTTTCTGGGTAGTTCTAAAGTTAAACACTCATCTCGTTTTTGACTCTATAGCTTCGTGTGACTAGACATGGTTAGACGGATGCATTCTTTGTTTCTGGTAAACGAGAAAAAGAGCGGGGCTCGTATTAGACTATATAGGAATGTGGGTGATTATACAAACTGATTGCTAGGGCATAGATCTTATGGCATAGTAGTGGTTTCTGTCTGTGATTTCATTTGCACTGCACTTGAATGAGGGATATTCCCCTGGTGACTCTCGAGGGCTTGCGTTGGTTGATGTAATTTATAGCCTTTAATCCTTATGAGCTTCCGATTTGTGGAGCATTTTCTGATTAACTAATTCAAGTTAGCTTTTTTCTTGAGAGCTATATTTCTTTGTAAGTGGGTTTTTCCAAGGTGAAAGATAGTCCAATCCGATGATTCATGGGTGTACCTGTAGATGGTCACACGATGCTGTTATATTTTGTATGATACTTGCTCGTGATGGGGACTTGCATGCCACTCTGGATAAACAAATAATGACGATGCTTGTCTTCCGAACCATTGCAGGTACGGAATCCATCCAAACAATTGTCAAGACGGAATACAGCCATATTGAACAAGTTTCGTATGAAACAGAGACAGTGCATGTAACCTCGGATGTTGCAGCACAGAGGTTCAGCACTTTTCTAAGCTCTCAGGTTGATCATCAAGATATTGGAAATTCTGGAGATGAGAGATTTTTGGACTTGGCTTTGTTGTCTCCAAGAAAGTCATCTGAAGAGAAAAACACGTATTCTAAGGAGAGTGAAGTAGTTGAAGAAGTAGATCTGATAGAAGAACTTAACCCTGAAGAGACAGAATTTGATGTCGAGAAGGTGCTAGAGAAGCAAAATACTCACGATTTGTACTGTCCCAATTGTCGTTCTTGTATAACAAGAAAGGTAATCCTTCGTAGAAAGAAACGTCACAGAGAGGAACATGACAACATCGAAGAAACAACTATCTCTGAACTACATCCTCAACCTGTAACTGGGGTGGAGGAGTATTGCAGTGTTGATGCAATTCCTAGCATTGATGAGACTCCAACTCCTGCAGTCATAGATAATATTCCAACGCCTGAAGTCGATGGTTACCATAATGATGGAGAGCGAGAAGCTTTTAGATGTCTGTCGTGTTTCAGTATTATCATTCGCACAGGTGCTTTTCTATTTCTCATTGCTATGGAAGCTCACCATTTGTGCTGAATAGTTATTTCTTTTAGGCACCTTCTAATTCCGTGTTTCTTACAACTTGGTTTGTCACAGATATGACTCTTTCTGTTGGTTAAGAACACGTTAGGAATCCTTGAGTATAAGCTACTTAATACTTACAGAGAAAATATTTTGTAACAGATTGTAATTATCTCATTGGAATCTATATCAACAGGTGCGATACCAAACAAGCCAAGTAAATGGCAAAGTTACTTAGAACTGAGACTTCAAAGACTAAACAACGAACTGAAAGGATTATGTTGTCCGTCCATGTTGTGTTTAGTTTCCAATCATAGAGTGGGAACTGAACTACTATTTTTTCCTTAGCAGGAGACGGAGCTAAATTGTTCTGGCTTTTTGGAAAGGGAAAAGAAAAAGTGCAAGATCCTTCAGAGGTTCCCGTGGCAAAAAGTAGTGCATTCTTCCCCCTTTTTCCACCATGGAAGGGGACAACAGTTATTCAGCCAGGTAATCTGTTGCCCTGCAGTCCATGATTTAGCAATTCCATCATGAGCATTTGCCAGAAAAGTTTATATCCTGTAACCAAGAAAAAACCTTCTTACAACTTCACAGCTTTGAAACTGTGCGTGCCTATACGAGCTTTGTTAAGGACCAATAGTCGCTGTCATTTTCATATTTGTGTGTCCTTCTGACATTGCAAATTCCATGCATCTAAGGCATAGAATTTATCATCCTTAATTAGTAAAAGCTCTTTGACAACAACATGATATAGATTTTTTCGATATGCTTTTCAATATAGATAGGGACTCAATTGGTTGTCTTGGAAAGAGTTCTTTCAATCTACAAAAGAGAGAGACGGCAGCGTGCTCTTACGCTCGCTTGAAAAGTATGGCTGTGGTGTCTATTATTCGCCCAGTTTTTAGGGCATCATGAGATTGTAATTGTTCACATCAATTTTAACAGAAGATATTGAGAATGCACACTAAATCTTCTTGACATATTCATATGTTCGTTACACCTTTCTATCTTATTCGTTCATTTTTTTGTAAGCATGTTAAATCAACAGCAACATTCTAATGATGGACTGTGTTATAAACATTTTTTGGCCAATGTAAATTAATGGGGTAAATTTATCACGGGTGTACCAGTTTAGGGTTTTTCGTGGCATTAACCCTTATTCGATGGATGGATTTGGTGCATGATGAACCAGATAGAGACTACCTCGGTGCTCCTGGAAATCTTTTCGTCTTATCCATGGGAGAAAGAAAGTGAACGACCATTAGAACAGTTCAATGGGACTTACAGCTCAATATTCTCCCCTTCCCTCTAAACTCAAGCAATCGGGGCTTGTCAACAAGTTCTCAGATATTGATCCCCTACTCTGAATAGTCATTATCCTCAAAAAGAAAAGGGGGTAAAAAGAAGAAAGAAAAGATCAGAACAATCATCCTGGACAGAATTTAATGAGTCAAACATGCTAGTCTTTGTTAAAATCAGAACATTCTCTATAGTGTTAACCATATAGCGAGAATTCTACTTACAATCACCATACGCCCAGGATCCAAGAGCATTAACGTCTAAATTATGCTTCAATATAGCGATATGTGCAGTGCATGATTTTCTTGATAAAATGCTGTAAAGTAATGCTGTGTAGTATCAATTGAATCTAGTTTAGTTTAGTTTAACAAGTGAATCTCATTATGTCTCTTGTACATTGTGCAATTGAAATGCTGGAGCTTTTGATGACATCAATTGCAGGTGAAACTCATGCAGCTGTGAGTGCTCCTTCTGCAATTACAGAGGTTTTACCATCCCCAGCTCAACCTTCTCGATCTGAATCGCAGAAAGTTGCGGACTCTGCAATTAACATCCAACAGGCGATTAATGCTGGAAAGGAATTAAGAGATGCTGTCAAAAAGACCACTGGTATGTGAAATTCATGCCTTCTTGGTGTCTGTAGCATGTAATTGGAGAATGCACACACAAACATGTCCACACAACGCATGCACCCCTGTTGACGTACTAACGAACTTGGTTTGTCTTCTCTCAAACTTACTGCTGGCCTAATCACCGTTCTATTCCAATATGTCGTGTGTGCGTGTTTCTCTGTATGCATCTCTTTGTTGATAAGCCACGCACATGTTGTGTATTCATCCGTTTTCCAAGCGTACTGCTTGAATATTGGGATACTTTTGCTGGTTCGACTGAATGCCATTCATAATCCATTCAATTTCTCTGTAGCTGGAATCTGTATAAGTTCTCATTTAGGAGCTCCTGTTCCTGAAAGGATAACTCCTGTAAACTTTTATAGCTCCTTCACTAACAGAGAAAGTTACATGAGACAGTAGTACATCTCATTGACAGAATATTCATGCTTTCTGATCTTTAACCTCGCCAGAGCTGATTGCGAAAACTATTTTCGCAAGAGATATTCATTTAAGGTGCAAGACACCACTCACCGACTTTTCTGGGTTTCTGCTCACTCTTTCTCCTGTGAACATAGACTTCTTACAGCAATGTTTCTGCACCTATTTATAGCTCAAGTATCTAGTCATGACTCTGTTGATCACAAATGCAGAAGATGATGTCATAGTTGACATTGATAGAGGGACGGCAAAAGTGGCACCTGCCAAAACAGCACAGACGAGTGATATTGTAGCACGAGTGGAAGTACCACAACAAACTGGAACTTCGCCACTAGCTGAAGAGCCACTAGTTGCTGAAGTCCGTCAACCTCGTGAATGGGATATTTTAAAGAGCATTGTCTACGGTGGCTTGATAGAATCAACAACAAGTCTAGCTGTCGTGTCATCTGCAGCGGGAGCTGGTGCCGCCACATGTATGTACCCAAATTTCGTCCATTGAATAATGTGCTGTAAACTGCTTATCCTTCACGCGTATTCCAGCTTTACACAAATCTGAAATACATTTGGGTTCAATTCAAAATTTGGCTTATTTTTTTTTTATAATAATTTCTAACATATTTAGTGTGAAAAGCTGCATACATATGATGCTTGATTTCACTGATCAAAATTACTGATTTGATTGCTTAGTGCCCTACAAGTTTTCTCTGTCCTTGTGTAAGTGTTTTGTTTGGCTCACATTACTTCCACCTTTTTATTCTTCAGTGCCTAACCGTACTGTTAGATATCAATGATGTTGCCTTACAGACATTCTGTGTTTACTTTTCTTTTAAATAGTTCTGCTATAAATACGTTTACTGCATTTCGGTTCTCATGGTTTCTTATTGTTCTTTAAACCTTTTTATATACGAATGCAGTGAACACCTTAGGTTTGGGATTGGCTAATCTGTTTGGAGGACTTTTCGTCATCGCCCATAACGTGAGTAATTCTCTTTTATCCATGTCAGGCATCTCATTAGTGATCTTTATGTCTTCCCACATAATTTTTATCACATCGCCGATTTCTTTTAAAGTTTACTAGATTGCTTTGCCAATAGAAACTTCGTCCAAACAGGACTTGAGGATGAGTTAGTTAGCACAGAACCATACCTTCTTGTGATAAAGCCAATCTATTCGAGGATGTGAGAACTTGTCATTGTTAGCTCCGGCTAACTTTTGTCCAGCTCTTGTTGTAATAAATGTAAGTTTTTGCAGCTTAGAGAGTTGAAGAATGAGCAGCCCAGTCAAGGTACCGAGCAAGTAGACCGGTACCAAGAGGTGCTAGGAAAGAGACAGCACTTTCCCCTGCACGCAATAGTAGCCATTTTATCGTTCATAATCTTTGGCTGTGTGGCTCCGATCACTTATGCATTCTCATTTAGGGAGAGTGACAATAGGGACTACAAGCTCGCCGCTGTTGCGGGCGCTTCTCTGTTTTGCATTTTCCTACTTGCCATAGGGAAAGCCCATGTTGGGAAGCCACCTAAAACTTACTTCAAGACAGTGCTATACTATGTCATTATGGGGTTCATGGCATCAGGAGTCTCTTTCTTAATCGGTGAACTGATTGACAAGCTTCTCACCAAGCTCGGCTGGTTCGATTCAACCTCATCTCTGTCTGGGACCCGGCCTTTGGAGAATGGAACGATGCAGTCTGGATGGGCATCCTACTGAAGTCATGGGATCTTGAAGAGCGCTTCTGATGCAGAATGCATGAAAACAGTTTTGTTCTCAACGTAGTTGCTTCATTCATGTTATGCCAAGGCACGACTCTTTCCCTTTCCAAGAGTAGAGAAACTAGTAGGAACCGGCTTTGCCTTCACATCTCTTCCACATTCTCATGTTATGTCTTAGACGAGTCTTTTCTAGTCCGAAGAGAATGCCTCACAATATGTACTAGAAAAATGTACTATTTCTCTTCCCCGTCTCAATAGCGGGAAATAAACCATGAAGGACATGGCCCGTCTGTGAACTTTCTGTACTGATCCTTCGTCGATGATAAATTTGTTCTCTGCTCAAGGCAATTGCCAAGGACATATCGTGGTGCTCGCTTTCCTCTTACTGTATCATTGTATCCATGAAAGCAACTGCCACGCTCTAGACATGTTGCCCTGTATTTCTTCTGCACAAGCACAAGTCGATGGTTTTCTTCTTTTTTCCCCCTTTTTAAGTTGAGTGCGAGATGGGCAACATTTGAAACAGTCAATACATAATCCAGCACGCAAACGAATTTGGATAGATGATCTGGTATGCATGTTTCGAGCGTCATCTTCATTTACAAGGTATTTTGATCCGTGATGGGATGATCTACACGTAATTGAAAAATCCAGCATTTCGATGGATCTAGAACTATGCGCGCATGCATTGCAACGGAATCGCAGGCACGTGTGTCTTTAGTGTTACTATAATTAAAGTGATTAATCCGATCGTAGCTTTATTTTTTCCTTTACGGGTGAAAAGAAAGTAGGGTTTTGGTGAAATGCTTGGACTGACTCCTCGTGAAAGGAAGCATTTAGTTTAGTACCTTCTTCATTTCCATGAATTGCAGATGTAACCTAACCTCAGACAAAAGCATTAAAATTGCAAAAGTTCGGCCCTTAGTCGACAGACACCAAGTTTTGAAGCACTGTACACCTGCACATATTTTGTTTATTTTTCGGCCATAAGAGCACGGATTTACTTCACTGTCTGTACACTCATCAATGAGGTGACATACTGTTCGACGATAAGATGATGCGTGTTGCTGTCTAAGAGGTTCCAGTAATTGGAGTTGGTGAGTGGCGTTATTAGAGCCTCACGAACCCAGGCTAAGATTCCAAAGTCACGTCCAAGGATAATGTTTTTGTATAGTCAACCTTTTGCTGGGCTATTGTTCTCTTGTTTTGTTCCCTAAATCTTATGGAGCAAGACATGAATTTCTCAATCTCGAACAATCATATTTGTTTCGGTAAATATGCTCTTCAGGCACTTGAACTTGTTTGGACAACATCTAGACAAATAGAAGCAAGACAATGAGCAATGACAAGAAATGTGCACTGCAGTGGAAAAATATAAGTACGTATATTTCCAGACAGACCAATTATGGTAAGACCTACGGAAACACATACGGATTCGGGTACCCATCTTTTTTAGTTAATATAATACTAATATATAAGAGTGGACTCTAAGTAAAGTAGATGCAAAGAATTCAAGTCGAAATTATCTTTAAAAGAAATTATTTACCCGTGAAAAATAAAAAAATTGAGGAAACGGAAACCGATGGCAAAAACTTTGCTCGCCCTAGAGAAAAGCGAGTTAATTACGTGAAGGAGTGATCGGTTTCATTGGATTTCGTTCGATGTGATTTCGATTTTAAAAATCAGCAAAATCAATACCATCATCGGGGAACTATTTGTGTTTCACGGAGAACTCATCAGGGTGATAGGACAGCGTACCGTTCGTTTGCATTTTCCCTCAAACAAAATCAATAAGAGAGAGGAATTGCATGGCAAGAAGATGAAACAAGAACATGTTTGCACCCTGTTCCGACCATATGAGGAACAGAGAAGATAAACGAGAAATTTAAGGAAATTTATCTTGGGAAAATGATTGGCACTTGTAATAAGGAAATTGGTCCCGATAAAATATCCATCTGCCGTGACGAATCGCCCAATCGGGTTGCTTTGATGTCAGTTCGAGTTGAATCCTGCGCAAAAAAACCAAGAAAAGTCTCTCTCTCTCCTCTCTCTCTCTCTCTCTCGCTCTCTCTCTATTTCTTGGGGAATCTTGCTTTCTTCGTCATCTTGTCGTCTGAATCTGTCCGACCTTCCCTGCTCAAGGGGGGAAAGTGCATAAATTTCCACTTGCCCGTCTGCAGTTCCCATCCGCGGCCATCTTCCTCTCGCTCCTCTTCTTCTTGAAATCTTGATCAAAGAGGGAGGAGAGACAGAGAGTGGAAGAGAGAGAGAGAGGGAGAGAGAGGGAGGGAGAGATGGCCGCCAGCCATCTGGGTCTGGTGAAGTTCTTGTTTTTCCTGGCGACCGCCTCCGTCTTCCTCGCGCAGGTAATCGGAAGACGAGGCCTTGTACCTTCTGCTGCTGCTTCTTTTTTCTTAGTCCCATCTTGGGTTTGCTGATAGATGATCTTAATGTGAGCTCGTTTCTCTAGCTTAGCTTTTGGTGACCGATCATTCTTGAAGAGAACGAACGACTCTTAAGAATTGCTATAGAAATCGGAGATAATATTCGGTTTATTTTTTGACGCCACCCGCAAAGATGGAGATTTTCAACTAAAGATTTGCTCTTTTGCAAGTCTGAATTTCAATTGATTTCGTGCCGATCATGATCTTTTAGCTGGTGTTATTACCTGCTATCGTTATGGGTCGAGCTTTAGTTTGATTTTTTGAACTTTAGCTTGTTTTCGGTCCTTGAGAATTTCGGTTTGAGCCTGTTCATCATTCTCCTATTTGCTTCTGTGTTGCTCTCTTGGTATGTACGTTTTGGATCATACACTTTCGATTACGGAAGTTGCAAACTTGCTGCTTTGAATTAATGATTGGTCGATATCGTCTTTACTATTTTATCCAAAGAAAGTGGTGTTTTGCTTTTGAAAAGATGGGACTGGTCTAATAATGGGAAACTCGAACGAGGGCAAGAAACCTGATGATCACGATTGGCTTTTCAATGAAAGCTGAAGGTTATCATGTCTTGGTTCTTTATTATGTTGCCTTAGTAAGGTTGTGACTCTCTTTAACCGTGTCTCGGCAGATCAATGCAGAGAAAGCACTTTCCCAGCTCAAGCTCAACTCTCATATCCTCCAGGTAATACACTCCTTGGAGGACAGAGATCGAAGCTCGTATCCGTCATCCTTTATTTTTAGTTTCAACAATATGTCCTGAGCTTCAATATTATTGTGCAGGACTCTATAATCAAAGAGATAAATGAGAACCCCAATGCTGGATGGCAAGCTGCCATGAATCCTAGATTCTCAAACTTCACTGTAAGTCTCCAAGGCATTATAATGATAAGTCTATTCTATTTGCACGAAGCATTTTGTGTTTTAGTTATTGTACCGCAAGTTCTAGTTGATAGCTTGATATATATTTTTGGTGTTTCCCAGGTTGGCCAATTTAAGCATCTCCTTGGAGTTAAGCCAACACCTCAAGGGGAGCTGAGACAGGTTCCTGTCAAAACTCATCCAAAATCCTTGAAGTTGCCAGAAAAGTTTGATGCTAGAACTGCTTGGTCCCAGTGCAGCACTATTGGAAGAATTTTAGGTCAGTTTGTTTGCCTGGTCTTTTGTTTGATTTCTTCTAGATATTATGCTGATGCTTTCTCTTTGTTGTGTCTAATGCCGGATTACCTACCAAATGGCAGATCAGGTAATCAAGCTCAAGCTTCTACACCTTCATTACAACTTGTATACTGCCCTAAAAATGCTTACGAATGTTACCTTTTATTGAATCAGGGTCATTGTGGTTCATGCTGGGCATTTGGTGCTGTTGAGTCACTGTCAGATCGTTTCTGTATCCATTTTGGAATGGTAGCTAATCTCTGACGGATTATTCTTAAATGCTATTATCCTGTATAAAATTGCATTCATTTCTACATGTCCTGTTTCAGAACATTTCTCTGTCCGTCAATGATCTTTTAGCCTGCTGTGGCTTTCTGTGTGGAGCCGGTTGCAATGGAGGTTATCCCATGTTTGCATGGCGCTACTTTATGCACCACGGCGTTGTCACTGAAGAGGTGCGAATCCCTGTTTTTGCCATTTTGATGAGCATTTGTCTAAATACAAAGGAGTTCAACAGATCGTTCTTTCGAAACTTTTTTTGCCTTTTCTTATATATCCTGATTTATACACCTAATGCATTCCTGTCCTAAATTAACAGTGCTATCCATACTTCGATGATATCGGCTGTTCCCACCCTGGTTGTGAGCCTGAATATCCTACTCCGAAGTGTGTGAGGAAGTGTGTGAACGGGAACCAGATGTGGAAGTCCTCAAAACACTACAGCGTCAGTGCATACAGAGTTGATTCCGATCCGCACAGCATAATGGCTGAAGTTTACAAGAATGGACCTGTCGAGGTGTCTTTCACTGTTTATGAGGTAATGCCAGAAGACTTGGTTTGGATTTCATAGTGAGAGTATCCTGTGGCATGGTCAATAGAGGCAAAAGGCTGTGGTTGATTGCATACTCTCGCTTATCTTACCGTGGCCGAGCATATCAATACATCATGCATTTTTCCTCTGCTGTCATGACACAGTGACCAAGATTTTGGGACTGCGAAGCTCATCAATACCAGTCTTTTATGTGTCTGTAATGTCATTTAATTGCAGGATTTCGCTCATTACAAGTCAGGAGTTTACAAGCACGTTACTGGCGATGTGTTGGGTGGTCACGCTGTTAAGTTGATTGGCTGGGGAACTACCGACGATGGCGAGGATTATTGGGTATATAATCCTCTGGGCATCTTCTTTCTTTATAACAGTTACTAAATCAGTTCTTATGGCTGATCTTCACTCTCTTTTCCTTGTTGCAGCTTATGGCGAATCAGTGGAACCGAAGCTGGGGCGATGTATATCTCTGCTTAAGCTTTTGACATCACATTAAGAAAAGTTGGCAATCGTGTGTATTAATGTTCCCTCTTCTTGGACTAAAGATTTTTTCCCTTTTTGTCTCTGAATTGCAGGATGGTTATTTCTTGATCAGAAGGGGCACGAATGAGTGTGGTATTGAAGAGGATGCAGTTACTGGTTTGCCCTCAACCAAGAACCTTGTCAAAAAGGTTGCGAGTGTGGATGATTCCGAGGATGCTTCCCTGTGAAGGGTATGGAATTCTGCGTCGTATTATGTGTTGTTCGTACGCCAGTCCCCGTGGAAGATGATAGTTTGGACTCCATTCAAGCAAGTACTTCCCCGGTTGCTAGTCTTGTCACGGCAGCGATGCTATCATGCTGTTTTCCTCCTTGTATCAATAGACTCCTGTTTCCGCAAGAACACTCGAAATCTTGATCCATACAAGCTGTACTCATATTTTTATCACCATCAACTGCAATTATGCTTGCTGCAGAATTGAACCTCGACCTGTTGGCGAGAGCAACGGTGCCAAGGGTTCACTCTACCACGTGCCGAGACATTAGAAAACTCCATTTATGATACATAAATAAGGACCCTTTATATCCATGCAGTACTTGAGCTTGCGCATGTAGGTTTCCGCTTTCGTTTGTAAGGCTTGTTACGTTTAATCTCCCATTTTCTTGCGAAACCTCCCCCTCTCCTGTGAACAAAATTGCTCGAGAAACGTGAGGCAGTTATCTGGAAGGCTCCAGTGTACAAAGGAAACCTCGTGGTCTGAATTTCCCGTGATGTGATGAGGTAAACAGAAATCAGAATCCTGTCATCCTACAAAAGTAGGACCAAGTGTCAAATTCGATGTCTTTTCACTCATAAATGAAGGTAATTCATTCATTCCATAGTACCAGCATTTCTCAAACTGTTCCTTAATTGGCAAACTTTATTAGCCAAATATGCCCACAACCAAGCGGATTGACAAATAACATTACGAAGAAGATCCTCACGAATGATATTTTTCCAGTTTCTTGGATCCAGTTCCTTGCAGTTGTTGGCAAAGAGGATAGATGGTCCTTAAATTATGTTGTTTATAGATATAACAAATTGGAATTCAATCTGCCCAAATGGGATATTCATATATTGCTGTTGATTTCATATGGACTTTCTTTGGCCAGCCAAGATCTTGTCTATAGTGCTGCAACCTGCAAACAAGGTCCGTCTCATTCCCACACGAACCATTAGTACAAGGCACCAATCTTGAAGTGAGATGACTTGATAGTTCTTCAAGGTAGATAACCATAACCAGCGTAAGCATGTCATCTGGCCAATGCATTAAGATCCCATTAAATCATTATAATGTTCATGCATTAAAAGGGCCGGTGGTGATCCGAGAATTGTTCAGGTTAGTGTAAAACGTACCTTAGAGTAGTTGCATCAAGGACGTCAAAGTCAAGTAAGCAAGAAACAGCCTTATGAAACTTCTACTGACCACTCCAATCAGAACAGACATTGGCTCCCAGAAGAAACAACATCCCCACCTCCTAACAGATAATAGAAGCTGTACATCTAGCAAATATCCAAGAGAGAAAGAGATGCATTCAACGCATCACTTAATTCTCTCTGGATACACTTGCCACATCACTTCGAGTAGCAGTATGCAGAGCTAGCATCTTCCTTCAAATTGAAAATAGCATAAACTGAAAAAGAATGATACGTTTACCGCTCTTCATTTTGTGTGGTAATGATGGAATGACAATTAGTGGAATGGGCATTCCAATTAATCAACTGCTATATGTGAAAGTGGAAAAACACATGGTAACAAAATATCAAATATGTCCTCATAATAAATCACGAGGAAGGGGAAAAAAAAAGGAACCACTTTGTATAGAAAGAAAAATTTACTAAGATTCATTTCCTTTCAATACGCATGAAGCAGCTAGCATCAATTAAGAGTTTCCAAACATGGAAGTACAAGGTGGAGCTTACCAAAATATGATGACTTACGGATCATCTAATAACCAGGAGTATCCACCCATGCCATCATATATTCCTGAAACAGGAACTGATGCGTGGAAAGAGAATATAGAATTCTGTGAAAAGCGATGACCAAAGCACAACCCTTCAACACGGTCACATTTATAACAAACACCCAGTGAGTCCATACATGGAATATTCGAGACTAGGCATTTTTTTAAATGGATAACGATTAATGCTATTTTCTAAACTGAGAATTGGTTTATATCGATGTCTGAAAATTTAGACTGGATATATAGAACTTCCGCGGTAGTCGGTAAGCTGTGATAAAGATGGGTACCAAAAGAAGAACAGAATTTGTTCCGGCTAGAATTAAGATATGAAAAAATGTGTAAGGCTTAATCAGGTGGCTATAATTGCTCGCTACCCCATCTTTGATAATTTTTACTATCCAGTGTATGTTTCAGGACACTTCCTAGACCTCTGAAAAGGAATCACAAAAGTATGGTTTCTCCTGCACTTTCAACATGCTTATCCTAGTTTGAGAATTTCATTTTTCTTTAGGAACCCTATGGCGAATGAACTATTCTTTTCAGAAATGCCTTCTATGCTATAGGTACAAGAGAGGCAGTGTCGCGCTACTAAAGCATCTAAAATTATCAGTCTCTAGTTCTGTGAAATAAGACATGACATCATGTTCTATTCAACTGATACACACTGGATTAATGATAAGCATGTGTGGAATGATGGAGCAGAAGAATTGAGCAAGAATAGATCTGGTTAGGTAAAACGCACATGAGAATATCAGCAAACAAAAAACGGTATATAAAACTCAGCCAGCACCATTTTCTATTTTTTAGTCTCAATTCAAAATACATGACCGAATGGGATACATGCCAAACTCCTAACTCGTGATGGTACATTCATAGAGGGAGAGGAACCATCTATAAAATGCTAAAAGTCTGAGTTCACTGGGAAGAAAGTTTGACAACCATTCCCTAGTCTATAAGAGCTTCATGCATATCAAGATGAAATAACAATCGTAACAAACAACCTGAATGGCATGATCAGCAAAAATCAAGCACATTGGCCTCTACGGCACACATGCCACGGACTGGTGTTTGGCATGGGAGTGACTGCAAATATGTGACAAACAATGTGAAGCAAAACAGTTTCTCTCAGCAAACGTACAATTCCACCACATTTGTGGCCATCTCATCATTAGCCTACCACATCTTCTTTCACTAAGGAGCTCTGGTTATAATTAATCATGTCCAAATTTATTAGCCGTCTTACTTTGACAATGAGCCTTTATTTGTTACAAATTTTACAAAATGAACAGAGAGCACGTCAGCCAGGTCACTAGGATAAGGAAAAAGACACAAATATGGAGCTGTCATAATGGCTATATTCAATTTGGGAATTTGACAACCGGATACTACCCCAAAAGGAAAAAGAGAAAAGATCAGCTGTTTCCTTTTTACAAGATATGTGACTGAATAAATGATAAACCAATGGCCAATTACAGGTCTCTATCCCAACATTTTTCCAACTTACAGAAGAGCTATGTTGACCAAACCTCCACTAGCCAGTTGAGGGCTGAATGCGCTTCAGGCTTTGAGCAACTTGCTTCATAGAAGGCCTTGCAGAAAGATGTTCACCTGTGCACATGACAGCCAAGTGAAGCATCTCGACGAGATCATCATGTGGCCCAGAGTCCCATAGGCCAGTTGTGAAAAATTCGTCAGCCTTTCCCTGTCGGAGAAGCATGCTAGCCCACTGCACAATATTGAAGCCGTTTCCGAAGGAAGAGAAGGACGGATCCAGCGCCTTCTTATCAGATATCAACTCTAAAAGGACAACACCGTAACTGTACACATCTGCCTTATCAGAGACACGGCAAGTCATTGCATATTCAGGAGCGACATATCCGAAAGTCCCGGCTACATCAGTGGTGGCATGAGTCTCAGAAGTACCCAAGAGCCTGGCCAGCCCGAAATCAGAAAGATATGCGTTGAAGTTATTGTCTAGCAAAATGTTGCTCGGTTTGATGTCTCGATGCAGCACTCTTGGAACGCATTCATTGTGCAAGTAGGCGAGAGCACGTGCAATATCCAGGGCGATCTTGTGAAGAACGCTCCACTGCACAGTCCTCCTTGGCCTATCCTGGATAAACTTCTCAAGGTTGCCACCAGGCAAGTAATTGTAGATGAGGAACATTTCAGACTCACTCACATGGTATCCAATCAGTGTCACGAGGTTAGGATGCTGAACTCTTCCTAAAGTTCTGATCTCAGCAGAAAATTGTTGCACACCTTGAAATCTTCCAACCGAAAGCCGCTTCACGGCCACTACCACTCCAGGTACAATCTCAGCCTTGTAAGTGGCACCAAATCCTCCACTGCCAATGCAATTTTGGATATTGAAACCACCAGTAGCCCTAACAACATTTTCATAAGTTAGATCAACACCAATGCTATTGAAAGTCACGACTTCTTTTCTTTCTGATCCTTGACACAAGACCGATTTGCATCCGAATCTCTTCATACACAAAAGCAGGACAACCAGCGATATTAGGACACAAACGATGATTGAAGCTGAAGTGATGGAAGCAATTTCTATAGGCTTGAATCCATTGCCTCCTCCCGGTGAGCTTCTGGTAGGAGAATAAGCTGCTTGTTGGGAACCATTACCAGAGTGCTGCTGCTCCCATTCGGAGGAAGATGAAATAGGGATACAAGGTTGGAGATACGGATTACCTTGTACATTTTCACACTTTATGAACTCTGAGTTAAGAGGGACGGACCCAGAAAGATTGTTGAAAGACACATTGAACACTGAGAGAGAAGTCATGTTACTGAAGCCAGCAGGTATCTGTCCAGATAGTCTGTTATGATCCAACCTTAAAACACCTAGATGCTGGAGTTTTGCAAAAGCAGCCGGTATTTCCCCTGAGAGAGTGTTCGAGGAAAGTTCCAAGACCTCCAAGGAAGCCAGCTGAGCTAGGTCCAGAGGAATTGTACCAGTGAAGTTATTAGTTGACAGAGATAGCGATTTCATATTCATCATCTGGCCAATATAAGATGGTATGGATCCTTGAATCTTGTTTCTGCTGAGATTAAGGTTCACCAGAGCAACCAAATTGGCAAAAGTATTTGGAAATGGGCCCATTAGTTCGTTACCCGCCATATTCAGAAGTTTCATGCAGCTGCACATGCTCCCCATGTCTACAGGAAGTTCTCCCGTTATCTTGTTGTCACCAATGTCAAAAGCTAGACCGGCCAAGTAACGGCAGAAGAGAAACGAGTATGCCGAAATATTGCCCTCGAGGTTATTCTCATTCAACCATAATCCATAGAAAGGGCGTGCAGATAAACGGTCGGAAGCAATAAGTACGGAAGGGATGGGGCCAGAGAACATATTTCTGCTGAAATCATGCAATATAGCCAGATCATTGGCATTGAGTGAAAACGAAGAAACGCCCGTGCCAGAATATTGATAGAAATAGTTGGTGTAGAAATCAACCATGGTGACACGCGGCGCTCTTGAATTGACGAACTTTTGAGAACAGTCACGAGTAAAGCTTGGAATATGTCCCGACAAAAAGTTTCGGCTGACATTAAAGACGATCATGCAAGGAATAGGAATTTCCCTTGGAAGTGATCCAGTGAAATTATTAGAGCTCAAATCGAGAAAGTACAAGTTCTTACAGCTGCCAAGCGTCGCAGGTACTTGTCCCTCAAAGTAATTGTGAGCTACATTTAGAATCTCCAAGTTGGAACAAGATCCCCATTCACGAGGGAAACTTCCCCCCAGGTTTGACTTTGGCGCCCAAAGTACCCGCAAGTTGGGAAGTTTTGCAATACTCTCAGGCAATTGACCCTCAAAAAAGTTGAAGTCGTCGTCACCGTTCTCCTCTTGAGGGTCCGCTGTGCGGAAAACTTTTCTGGAAAACAAAGGTCCATAGTTATTCTTGAACACGAGAACCTTGAGCTGATTGCAATTACCCAATTCAGGTGGTATAATGCCGCTCAAGAAGTTCCTAGACACATCGAGAACTTCGAGCATTCCGAGATTGCCGAGAGTCGAAGGTATATGATCTTGTAACAAATTTGACGACAATATCAATGACCGTAACCTACTGCAATTCCCCAAACTTGAAGGGATCGAGCTCGAAAGCAAATTCCCGGCGAGGTTGAGATGCTCAAGCGCACCACACTTCTCACCCAGTACAGGTGGAATAGGCCCAGTGAACACGTTAAATGACAATGAAACTACTTCTAGACTGCGAAGCACGGCTAAGAATGAAGGAAGTGTGCCGTTTAGCTGATTCCCAGAAAGATCAACCACTCGAAGCGCAGTACAATTCTGAAAACCAAAGGGTATGGGTCCTCGGAAATCGTTAAAACTCAAATCAAGAACTTCCAGAAAGCGAAGTTGGCCGATTTCTTGAGGAAGCTCGCCGAAAAACCCATTAAACCCAAGAGACAAGACCTTGAGCTGAGAAAGCCGCCCTATCGCGGGCGATAATCGACCCCTTAATTTCGCCGAAAATGGCAAACTTTGCTTGCCGCCCGCAAAGTCCGAGCAAGGAAACAGCAAGGAGAAGTTACCTCGCGCGTCCACGGTGTCGAACTCGGAGCATGCAGAGCTGAAGTTCGGAGAAATGCGAAGAGCAGTGACTCTCCGAGAGAGAGAGTCGCATGTGACTCCATTCCAAGCGCACCCGTCTTCGTCATCCGGGTTCCAATCCGAAAGAATCCCTAACGGGTCTTCACCGACGGCGGATTTGAGCTCCAGCAATGCACGCTTGTCGCCGCCTCCGTCGGACACGCCGGAACCCACTGACCCGGCAGCAGCAGCCCAGAAGAGAACGATCCAGCAAGAAACGACGACCGGCCCGAAAGGACGGAACTTGCCGGGACGCTCCCGTTGCATTTCGCAAGTCCTGATGGGGGTCTCGCTCCAAGCACTCGGGCGACGGAGGCAAGAAAAGGGGGAAAGGGGGGAAGACGAACCCTACCCACTTTCGAAAAGCAGCAGGAGCAACACGAGGTGCTGCATGGAAGACGACGGTGGCTGCTGGTGGCAGATCGGGTCGGGCCGGTTGATCTGGGGACGCCGCTGGAGCTGAGGGGGGAAGCTGCGCCGAGCTCGGCTGCCTCCGCGCACTGTTTCGGTCTCGGTGGGTGCTTTGGTTTCGGGAGTGTGTGAACGAGCTTGAGCAAGGAGCGGTGTGCGGGCGAGTGTGAAAAAGGGCTTTACCGAACAGTGAACCGTCGAAGAGGAGAGACAAGACAGAGAGAGAGAGAGAGAGAGAGAGAGAGTAAAGAGACGACAAATCTGAGGAGAGGAGGGGAGGAAAAAAAGTCGTGCAAATTGAGGGGGAGAAGCTGTGAAAAGGTCCCGCCTGTAGCAGGTGCGCGAAGTGTGTGTCGCGTTTCGTGTCCGTCCATGCGCGTCCTCCTCCTCCGCCTCCTCCTCCTCCATTTCGAAAAAGATTAAAGGAAAGAAAGAGAGAGAAGGAAGAAGGACCATCGCAACGTGTCGTCGGTCGCTCGACACGTCCGTTCTCGCGCTTTTTCTTCCCTCTCCTCCTGTGGACGACTGCTTTATGGCGTTTTATCGGGCATGATGAATGGGGAAAAAGGAGGAGAAGGAGAGGAAGAAGAAACAAACGTATTTAATGAGAGATTTTAAGTATTGATTACAGATGACACGAAAATATGAGTATGCTGAAAATTGGAAAGTCTTTCTTTAATTTGATTGCTTAGCAAAATGTCCTGGGGCGCTCGCTCAAAGAACCGAGATGTGAGTGGAATTATTTAAGGTATTTAGGAATAAGCGTATCGGAAAGTCCTAAAACTTGTCAATAAAATGTAATTGAATCTTAAAATTTTTAAAAAATAAAATTAAATCATGAAACTTTCAAAAAGTACAATCGAGTCCTAAAAATTTATCAAATCGGTTCAATCAAGTCCTTCCGTGAATTGCACTTTTTGGAAGTTTAAGATTTCATTTGTTTTTTCGTGACAAATTTTAGGATTTGATTACACTTTTTAAAAAATTTTAGGATTTAAATGTACTTTCGTGATAAATTTTAGGACCATCGATGCACTTATCTCAAATATTTAATTGCACGAATTATTTTCACCGCTGTTTAAAACTATCTAGTGCTTCAAAATGTCAACAAAAAAAAACCCATTTATTTTTTTTATTGTGTTTTTTATGTGGCCTGCTCTTTAATTAATTAATTAGTGTTGAAATCGTAGATTTGATCACTAGGCGGGCGCCGCCCGTGGTAGGGTCGTTGTCTAAATTGATCAGTCAATGTGGTAGACATCAACAAACGAGCATGCCCTGCCTACGTGGCCTTTTGCATTGGTCAGGTCGTCTTCGGCCGATCTGAATTTGCGGCTTCTCGGCGCCGATCTCGAAACGAACGACGACTCTCCTGTTGACGCATTTACATCGGTTTCGTCGGTCGTTCTCATCCCTCCCCCCTGTCATTTCCCATTTTTCGATTTGTATTTGTGACGAACGAAGGTTAGTATCATGAAAAATGTCGAATCGGTATGCTTATAATAAATTTATTTTAAAATTAATTTTTTGATCACTAAAAATTTCAAACCGATATACCTGTGATATTTATCATCCGTCAAATTGAATTAAGACCATGAAAAATTACAAACCGGTAAATATGATACAAACTGAGGGATAAAACCCTAAATTGGTATCCCGTCAACTGTCACGTGACATCTAACTCAATAATTTGACAATAAAATTTAACGAAAACTAACATAGAACAAATTTGTCACATGTGTACCAGTTTAAAGTTTTTTTTTGTCAAAAAATTAATTTATGACAAATTTGTCATAGGCGTACCGATTTTAGAGCTTTTGGTAGTATTAGCCTTTATGATAATTATGGGTGTAATTACGTGAAGGATTGTGTCAATTAAGGTTCTTGATAGAGCCAATATGATGTTGAGGCGAATCGATGGAACAAGTTAGCTCATCAAAACATGTTGATGCGGTTTGATGGACGAAGAACGTATTTTTTAAAAGACATGCGCCTCCTTGTAGTTACAGTTCTCGTCGGTTCTCCTACCAAAGCCAACCCTCTCATTAGAATATCGAAGTATTAAATTACGTATTCATTTAACAACTTGAGCTTTTAAAACAATTGGAGGGGTTGAATTCAAATTCTTTCGGGCCTTATTTGCCTCTCTAATTGCATATTTCCATGCATGTCACCTAGTGCGATTGAGTTTAACGAACACCATTTCGTTCCGAAGACAAGAATCAAAGCATGCATGAAGATCATCTATTGCGATATGAAATTCCTGGTTGCGAACCAATGTCTTGCTCTCTTTTATTCGATTTCTTTGAGCGAACCGAGAGGAATCCCGTATTTGTACAAACTCATGGGGTACGCAAAAACCCTCTTGACAATTGTACTTGATGAATGAATAAGTTTTGATGGGTCGAGATGGATGCTAGTAGGGGACCGCTCCTTTCAAATCCTGTGAGAATTGTTAAAGTGTTCGCTGTAGGAATTTCACGAGCTTCTAAGGTCCTAGAGAGGACGAGTTTGAAGTCACGTAAGATGCGACACATGGGTGCGATGGGATCCACTCCTAAATGGTCGAGTCAAACTTGACATTAGTAAGGCTTCAAAGGGACAGCCTGGGATGCGCAGCATGTGATGCGAATCGATTAGAAATTCATTAGATCGTTGGATCGAAGGTTTTGCATGTTTTACCTATGTCTTTGTTCCGCTTATGAAGCAGAGTCGAGTATTAGCGGAATTGCCTAACAAGATTAAAGAGAACTAAGATGCGGCGATTAGTCTACTAATGCAAGAGCCGGGACTCCTCCAGCAAAGTCGGGACGTGCCGATAAAAGCATATATCCTGAGAAGGTAACGCATATGTGCTGACCGGTTATCGAATCTTGCCGTATCTAATTGTCTCGTAACTTTCGGATGGTAAAAGAGCCCTACCTTTCGAATACAACACATTTATTGACCAAAAAAAATACAACACGTGCTACACATCATGTAACAATCAATTATTGAAGCTTTTGGGGCCCCCGTTTTTCAAAAAAAAAAATAAAGAAAGAGAGAAAAATTTGGAAAAAAACAAGGTGGGGAAAATGTGAAGGCGATTTCCCGCGCGCGCTCGTGACCCCTATATAAACCTAAATCGTCCCTCGTTCGTCATCTCTTCGAACGGTGGAGCCTTGGCGCGAAGAGATCTCCTCCAGGTAACTCGCTCGAACCTTCGATTGGCGAATCCGATTCGCTCGTGCTTCTTCTCGCGATCGCCGCCGTTCGCTTCTTCCGATTCGAACTGGTTGATGATCTCGGCGCGTGTCGCGAGGAGGAGGAGGAAGAAGAAGGAGAACTGAGGATCGGAAGGAGACGCGATGGCGTCTCTTCGAGATCGGAGACCGCCGCTCCGGCGCACGATTCCGTTCTTCTTTCGCGCGCCGGTCCGCTCGAACGATCGCCGCGAATCGGCAGCATTTGCGCTCTCTTTCGCGACAGCTCGCTCGCTGGCCTGCTCGCCGGATCGTGATTTGACCGATTCAGGCCCTCTTCTGTGCTTGTGCTTGTGCTTGTGCTTGCGATTGATTGTTGCTGGACTTCGTCGGATGAATCTTCGATACTAGTAGCTCCGAGAGGCGGAACCGTTGCCGGAGTGTCCGCGTAGCTAAAACCTAACTGGCATTAGCAATTTCCGGCGAAGCCAAGTTCGTTTTGTTAGGACCGCTGCTGTGCTTTGGTAGTTTGGATTCGAAACTTGCACATGAGCGAGCTCGTCGATGCTTCTCTTTAGCAACGTGACGATGGGCATGGCGCTGCGGATTAGACCTGCGACAATTGAATTTTCATCTCCACGTTGCCGTCTTAGAGAATTTCGCTCTTGTGATGGTCATTATGTTCATCGAGCTGTGTAGCGTAGTGCTGGGCTTTTTTTCTATTCGTATTGTTAACGATCATTTATTGTTGCCACAAAGTATGTTCAGGCCTGTATAGCATAGCCATCACGTTTTCCTCTTTTCCATTTCGCAGGCCGTGACTTGCTTGAGAAGAAATCGTTTACACGAGATACGGTGTTTGCCGTAATGGAATTGGTGATGCTAGGGAAGGGGGCAGAATCTCTGAGGAAACGCATGAAACCAGATGTATACTAGTTTGTGTCCGACTATTCTAGAGAGGGCAAACAAAATTTTGCTGCAAAATGTAGTTCGTTTAAGATTATGCTATGTATTTGTCAGGTCGAAGAGAAGGAAGAGGACCCAGGACATAATGCTATCGCAGAGATGGTAGAAAAGGAAGAGACTGAGACAAACATCGGGGGATCTGAAGAGATGGAGCTTCATATCACTCACATTCTTGATAAGATTGAAAGCTTCACTCAGCTGGTAACAGCCGTGCCGGAAAATGCACGCTTATTACCGGTCATTGCAGCCAAATTCAGTCCACATTAAGTGGTCGAGGTCTTGATCTTAGGGAAATGATGATATTCTGGAGGATAAGTGCTCTTCTTGTGTGTTCACTTCTTTTAGCCTCTTCTTTTGGTAATGGCATCTGATCATCTGCCTGCTTGAATTGTCAGACCTTAGAACCGGGATGTTTAGGTTGCTTCTAGATGACTTCGTGACAGGCAGTTATTTTCTGGATTTGTTTTTTTTCATAACAATTGCCATGGCTGCGCTGCTACTTTACCTCTTCTTAATCAAAATTGGTCACTGCAGGTGTCAGAGCTGCTGGAATCAGGGAAAACAATGTTCAAGGAACTAAGTGATGAATTTGAAGAGCGGTTGATTATGTGAGTTGTGAAGAAAGTGGAGGTCAAAAGACAAGTCTCGTGATGAACTGAAATTTGATTTCGCATTCTAAAGGCACGAATTTGTTTTATGCAGGATACACAAGGAACAAATGGAGAAGTGGCAGGATGAAATTAAGGAAATACGGCTGCTTGATGCCTCAAATGAAGAAGTGAATGCTACTTTACATAATGCTCGATATTTACTTCAGAACCCTCATGTAGACTCCTGAAAGGTGACTCAGTATATTTTCAAATATTAGTATCAATCTACATTTACTATACGCTAGGGAACTTTACAAGGCCTTGTTTTGAGCTGTAGATTGTATATTTGAACTCTCCGAATTGATTTGGTCTCTTGTAGAGACCAACTTGGCCTGCAGTCGCGCTAAAGGAACTATTACGAGGAGCAAAGTTCTCTTTCGCTTCTCAAGTAAACGCACGAGTTGCGAAGAACTTCAAAACAGATTGTTATATCTAGCATTTAAAGTCAATTGAGTTACCTCAGACACCTCAGACATTGTCTGCAATGGCCATCTTAGCAGCTTGGGTGCATTTGTTTTGAAGTACGAGGCCATTTCCAACTCAGGATGTTAGACCTATTTTCAGCTAATCTGGCATCAACAATGTCTTTTATAACTGCTTCAACCCAGGTTGGAGTGCCTCATGAGTGCCTGCTGATCATCACAGGAGTCACTCTATCACGCAATTATAATATTTCTAGATTATAAATGGCGAATAAGCTCTTGAAAACTGCAAAAGAAATGCCCTTTCTTTATGTTTGAGAGATTGTTGATGTTTCCAAGTAACTCTGCTGCATCGAGAGAATGAGCAAGTTGACATGATGAATACACCACCGGAGAATTCAAGCACTGGTCGTTTGAATGTTCAATCAGTTTTGTAAGTTTGTACCTGCATATTCTGTTACAACTCCTACCTTGCCGGTGAAGAAGACTGTGGTCATAGAGTTATTGATTTACAAGCCTTTGGAATCTCAAAGTTCTTGCTAACTAGGCCTGTTAAATGGGTCTTAAAACCCACATATGACCCTTTAAAAAAATAAATGGATCATAAATGGGTCAATATAACTTTGAAGAGCCCATCTTAAATGGGTCTTAAAGTTTTAAGCTTATCATAAATGGGTTTTAATGGGTTGAGTGTGGAACTCATTTTCAACCCACTCCCTTTTTATAAAAATATATATTTTTTAAAATCGTTTTTTTTATTTTTATTTATTTTCTTTTTTTGTTTTATTTTTTTTTCTCATTCTCTTTTCGGCCGGTGGTCGGCCACAGCGACGGCCAGTGATTGGCCACCGGTCACAGGGGAGGAATGACCTCGCCATAGGTCGGCGAGGCCTTGGGCTCGTCGAAATCGGGCAAGCTCGGCCTCGCAGGCCTGTGGCGAGGCTCCGGCCTCGCCAATTTGGCAAGACTCAAGGTCGCTGGCCTCGGGCGAGCTCGAGCTCGCTAATCGAGCGAGGCTGAGGCCGACAACCTCGAGTCTCACCATAGGCCGGCGAGGCCGAGCTCGCCTGATTCCGGTGAGCCCGAGGCCTCGCCGATCTAGTAAGACTCGAGCTTGCTCGAGGCTGGCTCGGCTCGGCTCGGCTCGCCTGAGGTCGGAGAGGCCTCTGCCTCATCAAATCAGCTAGCTCGAGCTTCACCGACCTCAAGGCGAGCTCATCCTCGCCCGTGGCCGGACGTCGTTGTGGCTGGCTATCGGCCAAAAATAAAGGAAAAAATAAAAATAATTAAAAATTGGATTTTAAAAAAAATATTAAAATTAATAAAATAAAAAATAATTAAAAATTATATTGTATGAAAATGTTTTTTTTTTGGTAAGGAAATTGTATGAAAATGTTTTAGTAGTATAATTTTAAAAAAAAAGTCATAAGAAATAAGTTTTCCTATATTGAGTTAAATATAGAAGTGTTTTAGCAATATAGGTCGAGTTGGGTACGAGTTGAGTATGGGTCGGGTCGGGATATTTACATTGCAAATAAATGGGTCATAAACGGGTTAATAGGGCAATTTGGGTCGGACCATTTTATGACTCGACCCAAATCTGATCCGACCCACCCGTTTAACAGGTCTATTGCTAACCATCTCATACATCCTATCTAACAGATACGTGAAATCCAAAAATTAGCGAGATCTGTCAAGATCGGAGGTTCTTATCAGGCCTGTCAAAAATTGAAAATGGTTGGTTACTTATGCAAAGTGTCTACCCAAACCTACTTGCGAAAACAAATTCTAAACCTGTGGCCATGCAGCTATCTTGAACTTTTGGTTCAATGACGTCTTTATCTTGATTTGAGAACTAGATGCAGAATCTAAGGTAGCATCGGCAATGATCGAGAGAGAGAGAGAGAGATCAGTGTGTATTCCCTCCATGGTTGAATTCGACGAGGTGACTCCATGTGTGAATCATTGGGATAGATCACTTGCGGCATCACCCCATGTGCTATGTACATGGAAGCTCCGCGAAACATGGCTCGACTTATGGCACGCTAATCATTCAAGACTTGTACATGGCCGTACATCAAGTGTACAGATTTGACCTTGATCTTGGCTTCTTACTCCCTTTCATTGTACTTTATACCTTTTTCTTTCTATATTGCCATCCTTCATAAACAAGGCATTGCAGTTCCACATGCAAGGCCCTGATAGAATGGTGGAAATAGCTTATTTATACCCGTTGACTTTGACTTTCGGTTATGGAGCTTGAATATCTGTACATTCCATCTTCATCAGAGAATATAAAAGTCTGAGACAACAGGAGCAGAAAGGATTATATAATAGAACTCTCTGCGCGGCATCTGATCGATCAAGTTGCAGACCAGAGGCAACTTGCCATATGACATTATCCCCCTTTCCTTTCGGTTTATCGTGTTATTGACAACCTGGACCTCAGCTGCACGACTAACGTACCACGGGATTCTCCAACTAAATGCGCGAACATGAAACTTCCGACGGTGGATTTACAAACTGCGCCTCAGCTGTCTAAATTCCAGGAACTTAGACGGCTTGAGGAATTTAAATTATTAAATGTATTGTAGCTTCAGACTTTCTTTGCGTACACTGAAATGTGGGTAATTCATTTTCAATCACATTATTTGAAAACAGTTATATATGTACAGATCATGCTGCAACTGAAAAGCAAATTTTAGGACGACAATGTTTCTTAACAAATCTTGCATTTGTTCTTTATGTTACTAAGCACAGAAGATTTAATAAACAGTAAGAGCTAAATTTCAAGCAAGATGGGACTCAAAAGAGCCATGACTACCGATCTTCAAATTTAAGCAGCCAAAACAATCTAATGTGGCGGAAGATTTTACAGCTGCTGATTATTTTCAGGAAAAATTTGATAGTTGCTATTGGAACTGGCTAGCTCAAACTGTCCCCCCTTTCTCTTAAAGTTTCTCGGTGTGGCCTTTGTCACACCCCATGCGAACATGGAACATGTGTTTTTGCTACACCTTACATTTTATACGCATCATGGTATGTCATGGATCATCAAGATTTGAGTGAATAATATTTCATTTGGAGGAACATGGCTAAGTCAACTTATCTGTTATGTTATCATGCAGAGTTTGGACATGTGAAAACTTCCGGCGGTTATCTCTATCTCCGTCCCACCAGTATAACTTATTAGCTCATTATAAATAGCTCTGCAGTCGGCCATCAGCAATAACAAGAAGAGAGAGAGAGAGAGAGAATGGAAAAGGGGTGCATGCATGGTGGTCTTATACTAAGTCTTGGACTGCTGTTGATGATCACCGTGCAACCAAATGGAGCAGCGGGTGCTTGGCTTAAAGCCCATGCAACTTTCTATGGCGGAAGCAATGCTTCAGGAACAATGGGTGAGTAGCAGTACTCCCTCTTTTCCTTCCCTTTATATTCACCTAATTATGCTCAAGCCACAATCAGGTCCAATATTTGAAATGCATAAATGACCTGCAACTACTATCGCAAAGCCTCATTCTTCTCCTGCGGCATTTATGGCCGTCTGTATAGTTAATACAGATGCTAGATATGTATTGCAGATCCATCTTTTCGCAGCTTTAGTTTTTGACTATCGATGGTTGTCTGACTATGTGAAGTCCTTTTATAGGTCATATTTCATGATGTGGATGGTGTTTTAATACTAGGATTGAAGCATTAGAACTTGCTCTAGGGAATAATCTTTCGTATACTCCTTATCGGAGCATGCAAAATCTCTCTGAAGAAGATGTAAACTGATAGGTGACCTTTTGACTTGCAGGAGGAGCATGTGGATATGGGAATCTGTACACAGACGGCTATGGAATCAAAACGGCGGCGCTGAGTACGGCTTTGTTCAATGATGGCAAGTCGTGTGGCGGATGCTATCAGATAGTCTGTGATGCCACGCAGGTTCCTCAGTGGTGTCTCAAGGGCACTTCTATTACCATCACTGCCACCAATTTCTGCCCGCCAAACTTTGCTCTCGCCAATGACAATGGTGGGTGGTGCAATCCGCCAAGGCCTCACTTTGACATGTCTCAACCTGCATTTGAGACCATTGCCAAGTACAGGGCCGGAATTGTTCCTATTTTGTACAGGAAGTATGTTCTATCCATACGCACTTGGTCTTTTCTGAATTTTGTTTATCTAGTCTGCGACATGATTCGAGAAAGTTTAGTAGGTTGACTAGTTTTTCCTGGGCCATAGTGTTAGATGAAAGAAATTCCGGTGAAACCAGACCGAACCGATCATTTCCTTACATGTTCTCTAGCTTCTGAGTATATTTTAAATTGCAAGTTGGGTTGCTTAAACACAGAAGCTGCTTCTGCATTTGGCCTGCTTAAACATATCCTTAGTCTTCAGACAAGGATATGTAGACTGAAGACACCCAACCTCTAGTTTCCGGGCAAACTCGGCACTAGGAAAATCCGACAAACTCGCCTAATAACTAGATTATATTACATTACACTGATTACAGATTTTACTTCAGCCACAAAAACAGAAAGAAGAGGAAGGTCTTCTATGAGATTAACATGTTTTTCTCCCCTGTATCCTTTATTAGGGTTGGATGCAAGAGAAGTGGGGGCATCAGATTTACCATCAATGGAAGGGACTATTTCGAGCTCGTCCTCATATCGAACGTAGGGGGGGTCGGAGATATCTCGAATGTATGGATCAAAGGGTCCAAGACGAACAAGTGGGAAGCCATGTCGAGAAACTGGGGGGCGAACTGGCAAAGCCTCAGCTATCTCAATGGCCAGAGCCTGTCCTTCAGAGTCCAGGCCAGCAACGGCCGCACCATCATGGCCCTCGACGTGGCGCCTTCAAATTGGAATTTTGGCCAGTCCTTTGCCAGCAGCACCCAAATTTAAGAAGGCGGCTGCAGGTACTGCTATTGATGCAGCCTCATCAATCAATTACAGAAAGGTTGCTTATCTCCCTATGCCGTACGTATATTTTTACTTTTACACCTCATTTTACAATTATATTAATGGGGTTGTGCCGAGTATGTTCAAGGACCAACCCAGAACTTTTTGAAGCTGGAGCCCTTAGCTGATGCTCAAAAGTTCAAGAAACCAAAAGAATGACGTGAAGAATAAAAATATGAACTTGCTACGTTCTCTTAATATACATCGGCAAAAGCCAAAAAGGTAGCAACATAAGGGAATTGCCTGAATGAACTCCCGGGCCATCAATTAGATCTTTCCCTCGAAGAAAAATAGACATATTCTAGATTTGATCACAAGGTTCTTACATGAATCCTTCAGAAAAAAATGACACATTAGAGAATGAACTTTCCATCAGGACTAAAAGGCTCAGGATTCCACAAAACGGAAATCCATGTCCAGTTAATGATGAACAAGAGGCGGCCCTCCGTTGAATAACTCAAAAGCAACTGATCAGAGAAAGTCGGCTTTGCCCAAAGTTTCTGTTCTTGGAGCCAATGTCTTTCTAGTTTTAGATGCATAACTGTCCATACAAATGCAGCTCCGTGAAGCAAAAAACCAATCATATTTTATCTCCTCATACCCCGGTGGCGCTCCCGTCTTCGAAAACGCTCTAGCATAAATTCATCTGTTGCAGCTTGCCTTTGTCCAGGTGCATCAGCGTTATCATCAGCTGGTTTTGATCCAGCACCATCATCCTGGGAACCACGGTCCTTGTACAGCTCAGGGTGATCTGTAATTTTTCCATCAACAAATATTTTATCAGAACTGGTATTAACATGAAAACTCTCCACATGATGCAATCAACATATAATAGGAAACAGAAATTTGCATTAAATCTGGCTAAAGAATCCAGTTAATCCAGTTAATCCAAACAAATCCATGTATACACACACTACTGACCAGCCAGCCATAGTCCAAGCCAAAGTCTAATGGCCTGTTTCTGGGGTGGCTTAGATTTTTTAGCCAAGGCTTTTTCACTTTATACCTTGAGGCCCATGATTATTCACTTGCAGCTTTAGATATGATGTTTTTCGATGTTGGATCTTTGAAGTTTTAATTTCTGTGTTTCACTAAAAAAATTACTCAGCCTACACAATTTCATCATATATTTCGCATTTTAAAAGATTATTTGCCGAAAGGTAAAAGCCAAAAGTAGATGTAGGAGGTCACCGGCTCCAATTCACTCATCATGAGAAGAAGAAAGGGAGGAAAAAGAACCTCTTCTAAGTTTTTCAGCATAATCTCTGCCGCGATGAAAATAATCTGCACTGTAACTTGCTGGGATATTAAAGTCGGATTTTGTCCTTCCCATGAGCCTCTTCTCCTGCAGAAGCTTTTTAGCAGCCTCTGTCTCCTCAATGTTTCTTAACTTGTATCTGCAGAATGAAAGATGCACTCAGAGAAAGCAATAAGATCACGCCTTCTTAATGTTGGAAAGAATACAATTAGATCCCTGGAGAACGTGTCTGACATTATGGTGCAAGTGCACTGACTCTAATCTTAAAAACAATTGCAAAATTGAAATCAAAGCTAAGGACGTACTCAATAGGAAGCTGAACCTCAGCAATCCCAGTTGTCCACTGGGTAGAGCCTTCATCTGAAGTTCGCTTCTTCACCTGTGACGAGTGGTATGAACATAATTAGAGTTATCAGCTCATGCATGAAAACTCTAAGTAGCATTCCAAATAAAAGGGTATGCTCCTTGGCCTGTTCATGGATTTATTACCAAAAAAATTTACTGTACTGGATAGAAATAACAGAGATTATTTAACAATTGAAAAGGTCAAAAGCTAGAAACTTCGCCGTTTCCGCATGGGAGGAAGAATAACACCGAGAAACTTCATTTGAAAATAATACAGTTATTTTCAAGCAACTCACTTTAAGATGCTCTGGAATCTTGTACAATTCATCTTCCGCATTCTTTATATCATTCTCAACTTGATCACTGTCATTAACACTCCTGCCCCTTTTCTTCGCCAATTCTTGCTCAACATACTTCACCCTGTTACAGCAGATATAACCATAGCAATTATAACAAGTGAAACAATTGAAGCTAACAGGCGGAATATTTTTAAAAGAGTAAATAGCTAAACATAACAACACATGTGGACATGGTAAGTATTTTACTTTTGGACCCTCGAGGAGTAAAACTACTTATGTAAAGAAATAGTTCCATTTATTTAATCTTGATACCAGCCAAAATGTCAGAACAAATTGAAGGCACCTCCAGTGTAGAACTTTTAAAGCCTAACAACACATAAGGGCTTTGGTAAGAATTGAAAAGCTGTAGAAGCATAAGGTTTTTCTAACCCAGTTTGTCAAATCAATGATGGTCATGAATATGACCATCGTAAAATCCTCTTTTTCTGAAAAACCTTTTGAGAGATATCTACATCTTGTCAATGGTAGAAGCATCTTTCTGCGACAGATGAGAAATTATAATTCTTTCTACATCTCACTTAAAATGTACATTGAAGTACTAAGTTTGGAGCATGTTCAGGAACAGTGATTCCATAATGTTCAGTGGAATCACATTACCACCCGCTAGTGCTAGAGACCTAGAACGATTACTCTTAAAGTAGATGAAGAGCATAGCATAACTTCAAACTACAAATTCCAGATCCAGAAAATATTCGTGATAGAAATGCCAAATCAAGTCAAGCTATCAGCATTTCTTAGTAGAATAATATAAGAGAGTACCATCTTAAGTGAGAAGAAAATGCTAATACTACTCCAAGTAACAATTTTAAGTTTCTAACCTAACATTTTCAAAGACTGTTGCATCCCATCTTCTTGACAAGGTTCAAAAACCGTTCACCCAAAGTGTTGCTATAACACATGCAGTTCCAACACACACAAACTTCTAAAACCTACCGATTCGATTCTCAGTTCAAGTTCCCGAGGCAGATGAACATCCTCCTTGCACGGGATACAGCAAATTAAACTAACTACCACCATCAACAGAAATACATAGCACGAGTAAAAATGAAAGAAAAGAAAAAGGAGACATATTGCTCAGGCTCCTTGTGAGACAATATCTTGGGTTCTTTATTTTTGCTTTCTTCTGTACCATCCAATGTAAGCCCAGCTGTTGTTCCTAGAGATGTAGTAATCGACTATGCCTAGCAGTGACATTTCAAGGCAAGATTGATACTTCATCTCTTTTTTCCGTTTCCATAACCCCAAGCGGTCGGTCGGTGCTCACGGGTGCAAAAAAACCAAACAAAACCCTGCGACCAAGGTGGGCTTCAGCGATCGACTTACATGTTAGGATCTTCGACCATGACCGCCGTCTCCTGCGCAAACGTGTCCTGGAGAACCAAGTCCTCCTTCTCGCCATCGACCTCGGTCTTCTCGACCGGCTTCGCCGCCAAGCCCACGCGCGCCCCGACGTCGCTCTTCTGAGGCGCCAGGACGGCGGGGATCCCGGATCTCCTCTCCCTCTGCTTCTGCAGGAACTTCACCTCCTCCAACGCCAATCTGATTCGACGGCGACGGCGACCAAAAAAACCGAACCGCGTCACTCACCGCCAACACCACACGAAGCACCATAAAAAGAAGAAGACGAAAACCAAGAAATTTTGCTCGCTCGCTCGTTCGGTCGAGCGTGATCGCACCTCCGTTCTTCTTCGTCATCGGAGCGGCTGCTTTCCGGCTTGTTCTGTCCTCCTGCTTCGCCTTCTTCCTCGTCGAGAGACCGCTTCCTGAAGTTCTTCTTCCGATGCTGCATCGGGATTCGATCGATGGATGTTCCTAGTTCGAATTCGAAGCAGAGGAGGATCAGCTGCTGCTCTCGTGGAATTCGCGAAAGAACACCGAAGCGCTCCGCTCGATTTTGCAGCCTCCTCTTTTCTTCGAGGTCCCCTTGCGATACGACCCCCCGTTTTTGAGCGATCCACGAAGCGACGCGCAACGCAAGTCGTTTTTTGAGTTGAGCCGAAACTCTCAAGGCGCGAAATAATAATAATTATGTTCCGGGCCCAATTTCTAGCTATATTTTTCTATTTCTATTTCTAAAAGTAGCTTTTGATAGCATCGATGTAGAATTCGTAAGTCGGGGCGAGCGGGAAAGGCGAGCTGCTAGAAGAATTGTTATTTCTGTTTTCAAAAGTAGAAATGTAAAAAAATTTTATTTCACATTTACGTTCCAAGCCTATTTCTAGAGTAAAAATTTGTTTCAAATATAGAAAAATGAAATTGCATTGTCAAACGAATTTCCCTTACAAATCTCTTCCCGATAACAGACAAATCAGGATAATTCCGACTTGGACACAATGGCAGTGAAGTAATTTCGAGCTGAGACGAGGGCATTTTATTTCACTTGCGAGTCAGTCGGAACGGGTCGGCTTCTTTACAGTCGGAATGAATATCTTATCCAGTCCGAATATTTAAGATAAAGAGATAAGGCTTTGATCTCACCAGAAGTTAATGCATTGCTTCGTGCTTCAGATTTCGTTTATTTGTCCATCGTTTTACATAAGTTATTTTCGCGAAGATCGAATTACATTTTATTTCTCTAAATGTGTAGCCGTAGAAAGTTCGACGAAATCAAACTCGAACAAAGATTGAAGTAACTGGAACAGCAGAAATCGAAAAAGCTCGAATGGATGGATTCTCTTTGTGCTGCTGGACAGTGCAGTTCGCGTCTCTCATGACTTCTTCGGCGCAAGCTTGTCCTTGATCTTGTTGATCTCTTTAGTGCCGACCTGGAACGCCTTGGTCAGCACGTCGTCCGGGACCGCCGGCGTCGCGGTGAACAGCGTTAATGCGATGGACTGCGTCCCGGGCAGCTGGCTGTTGAACGCCGCGAGAGCCGAGGCGGCCTTGTCGCCGTTGTTCTTCTGGAAGTGGACGAGGCCCCTCGGGAACACGAACACCTCGCCCTTCTTGACTGTTTTGGAGATCAGGGTGTTGGCGGTCGTGATGAAGCCGACGTCCAGATCGCCCTCCAGGACGAACACGATCTCGGTCGCGCGCGGGTGGGTGTGCGGCGGGTTGACGCCGCCAGGGGCGTAGTCCACGCGGGACATAGAGATGCCTAAAGTGTTGAGGCCCGGGATTTTCTCCACGTTGGCGGTCGTGACCACGGATCCCACCGAGCTGGTGATTGTTCCCGGTTTCGCCAGGCCTTCGAAGGCGAAATCAGAGGCCGTGATGTTTGCTTCGCTCTTGCATGCGAAGCCATTGACCTCTACACCTGCAAGGAATAGCAAATTAAGAATTTGACTTCATGTGGCGGATCGTGTTGGTAGGGGAATGCAGCTCGCATTGACTTTGAGTAAAAATTAATGGGATAAGCGCCAACTTGCTAAATCTCTCTCTAGGACAAATCCAGAATAGTTGGGTTCAGACAACTGTGAGTGTCAAAGCAATCCGTTTAAGATTACAGCAAAGCAAGCTCAGAAAAAATTGAGATCTTAGAGTAAATAGTATCTGGAAGTTCATGAACAAATGAAAGACGAAGTAAAAGAAAGGGAAGATACCTGAGGAAGGACTGGCCACGCAGATATCCTGAAGCATGTCAGGGTCATAAGCAAGGGTGCCAGACAACACAGCAGAAATGACTAGATACACGAAAACCGCCGGCATTTTGTGAAGCAGAGGAGGGATCGATCCGAGAACGTGGAGGCGAACAAGAAGAAACCCGGCTATAAAAACTGGTCAGCAACAGACTGGGCAACCGATATGTGAACAAATTGGTCAGAGATGGATGCCCGATAGGGAGAGGAACTGATGTGATGCGAAAAGCATGGAATGGGAAGAGTTCTTCAACTTTAATACAAAGCCATCAGATCTCAAAAGGGCTCTTTAGTTTGACCCCAAATCCACCTTTGAGATCATCATCCGGTGGCGCTGAGGAGATCTCATGTATTAAAAGTGACGATTAAGCTAAGAAAACCTTCACCAGATAAAGGAAAAGGGAAAGACGAGGACATGGGGCTATGGCTGAAGCGAGTAGTTGGCGAATGAGGCAAAGATGAGTGTTAAGCGCATCTTGTTGTTCCCAAAGAGTAGTTACACAACTAACAGCAGCACTTTGAGTTTGGTGGGAGAGACATTAGTCATCAAAGTATTGGGATGAACGATGATCTGTCAACGAAAATGTAAAAAGTAAAAGTTGGTGCTTTCCAGGGAAGAGAGAGAGAGAGAGAGAGAGAGAGAGGATTACGTGAGAGGAACAGTACGCATCACCCACCATTGAACCAGATCAGATTGAGGGCAAAATGGGCCCTAGAAATGGGACTGGACTTCTTACTCTGCACCCGTCTTTTAGTTTGGTGCAGACATGTTTCCAACTTCCTCTTTTACATTTAACATAAGATGGTGTGACCTTTCACATAAACAAGGCAAATGTGGACTTGGTTAACCAGCCCCTGTTGCAGTAGTTGGGATGGTCCTGTCCGTTCGATTACAAGCAGTCTTTCAGGTCATGCGAAATGCAAGATGCTTAGCCAGAAATCTTTGAAAACAGAAAAAGATCCGCGCAGGAGCTCCACTTTATGAAGCTTTTAGCTCAGGTGAGGCCAAATGCTTGGCCTTGTTTGGTTTCTATCAGCATTTGCACCTGTTTTGTAGGTTGAGTATGCAGTCATGCCACATCACTTGCTTGCTGTAATTAGAATTGCCACAAAGATGAGAACATGGGAAAGAGTTGGCCAACTAATTATTTGCTAACAGTAACTTGGTGCTCTTTCTGACCTTTATCAGCATGATTTGGATTATGTTTTGCTTCGATGCTGTAAGCCATTGACTTCTAAATTATACCAATCTCAAAGGATCATCTGGGTCAAATCACCGTTGAGATGCGAGCAATGTTCACCTAATTACTGTAGCAGCAAAAACATAGTTTCCTGGCTTCTTCCACTGATCATGTCAAGAAAGGGATCGAAGAGGATGCATGTTTCACTCTTTTCGATGTCCAGAAGTTGAAATTATTGATTGAGCATTAATTGGCCTTTGCTATGATGATGGAGGCAAACGGTCCATCACAAAAGATTGACGAGAAAAGAGCAATTTTCTATGTCAAAAGATCTTGAGGCTTTGAGCTTTTTGATCCCTGAATGAAAGAAAAGGTGAACCCCAAACTGGGAAAAAAATTGATACAACGTTGGGGTAAAATGAAAATGTGAAGAATCATCTCATCCGGATGATCTCCAAATCCTTCCTTCCAAGGAAACCACCATAACCGAAACATCATCATGGTATTTACGTCTGTCTCCTTGAGGAATGTCAAGGAGCTGATGAAAATCCATTCCTGCAATGGAAAAATACCGACCCCAGCTATAAAATGACAGCAGTAATTGCAAAATACAGGATTCAAAATAAATGTTCCTCGGAAAAGAAGTTTGACAGTGCGATAGGATAAGCATCAAACGACTGCTTATGCTAGTGCCAAGAAGATTATCGAAGTCTTCAATCTGGTTTTCTGATAATGTAACACAAACAGGTTGTCGGCTGCCAGACACAACAAATTATGAAATAGACATGATGAGATCAGTCAGTTTACTAGTTGAGTGCAAGAATTTTAATAATGCCCATCACAGAATAGGTGACAACCATTCTTGCAGCAACTAGCAACTCCACGTATAACATATTACTAAGTTATGCACAAACTCCAAAGAATATTGTCTCATGATGGTTTGTATTAGGTGTCCATGTAATATCGGCAATAGGAAACTATGAGCCTCCGAGTATTTTAGGACAAACATGTGGAATTGCATTACTTCTAAAACTAGATGAACTGAACGGGTTAACATCATCCATCCAGCCAGGACAAGAGAAAAAGAATGAAAGACACAGAGTTCTGACAACTGACCATTCTTTTTAGCAGCACGGAAAAGCAGCTCAGCAATGAGGTATTGAGCAGGATCGCCTTCAGGGACATTTTCCATGAACCATGTGACATGCGCAACCACCTCTTCATTGCTAAAGTATTGATAGAGCCCATCGGAGGAGAGTACCAAGAAACGATCACTCGAGGAAAGTCGGTGATGGGCAAGAGATGGTATGCAGCTAACATAGGGAGAAGTTCCCAGGTAATCAACTCGAAACATCTCCAGTAGAGCCTCATTCAATGTTGGCTGCAACCAAAAAGTTATATATCCTGGTCAAGTTTACCAAACGGAAAAAAGACAGCAAAGAACTATTGCACAAAACAACTAGCAATATGAAATGAAGAAAGTGCTCTCTTTCACTTTGAACAAAGAAGTTAAGATTTAGGAACACAAACACGTCTCTTTTTATGCAACAAAAAATTACACACAGAAGTATCTTGAACAGCTCACTTTCACAACCCTTCATCTGACAGTCTAAAAACTGACCATCTGTGTACAGCCACTTTCTAACCCATGTGTGCGTACCTCCAACAAAAAATAGCTCCACTTCTCAGGGGCTAAGATGCCATTTCCTTACAAGATCATGAACATGGAATCAACAGTGACCAAAGAAGCTAAAGCCACTTTAGAGGCTGTTACACTCATCATCTCCAACAAGCTATACGGCATGAACTTAGCTCACTAAATTTCAGAATGAACCATCCTACACTTACCACACCCTCTCATTGTAACACTAGAGATAGACTTCGGCCGCTAGATGTGCTCTAAAATTTAGCGTGTGAAAATTTTCATGTGCATCTGCTACTACAACAACAAAAAAACAGAAAATCCTTATTTGGAATCCTCAAGTTTAGTTACAATGCTCACTGATAAGCATTACATCATTCTCAAGTTCTCTGTTAACCGTTACATTATTCTCAAGTTCTCTGTTACTCTTTCTAGAATTATATAATTCTTGCACAGTCATGTGCACTATTATCACTTGAGAACTTCTGTTTATCTCTTTATAAGCAAACTGATTCATTTCAAAGCTTTCTCTTATTCTCTCGTTACGATACTCGGAGAATAGGCATCCACACAGAACATCTCAGAAACTAAATATATTCATCTTGGACATTCACATATCTTCAAGACTTAAATTTTCCTTTCTTGTTCAAATTCTTGGGGAAGTACATAAGTACATTTTTAAAGTGAGTAGTGCAATGTGACAACAGATATGATGAGAGCCCATGCTTCATCAACCAGGAGAGAAAACATAGGCTCTGTAGGCACAGGAATCATAGATAGAGGTGGTAGAGCAAAAGTAGCTAGGAACTATCTGCAGTGAAGCAGATGATTGCTACTGGCCCAAAAGAAGAAGATGATTGCTCTTTTTCCGAATTTCTGAGTTGCCAAGCAATTTTCTTTATTACGCATCCTTTCAACCCGAAACATGCGGAACCGTATATTGACTATTGTCCTCTCGTGCATGCAATCAATGGAATCCCAACATTATAAGCTGTCGCCAACCCAAACAGTCGCCTCCTCCAAAGAGAATTGTCAGACCAGAATTCCGCAGCCAAAAGGCAAACTTCAATAAAAGTTATTAGACTGACCAACCTTCTTGAGGAAGCCAGCCCCAAATGCTCTAGTTACTTTCAACTGCCCCTTAACACGACCATTCATAACAGCTTGGTTATCATCCGGATGTTCAGATTTTATCCTCAAAACCTCCTGCAACAGAATAGAGAGATCATACGTCATTACTGTTGCCATTGATCTTGAACCTAGTTAAGAAACATTACAGAAAACATGCTGTGACGATAAGTACTCTCGATGATATAAGTTGGGTGGCTGGGTACAATACTCATTCCGTTTCTTTTTATATGGAAAAATTCAGGGAAACATTTTCACAGGCAGCACTTATGCTCATAGATAGCAGCTGCACCACATCTGGAAATTACAGTCTTCACTTTTGAAAAATTAAGGAGCCACAGCTTCAGTCACTTAATGAATTGTAACCATACGGAGCACAGTTCTCAAAGATGTTATTAGGTTCCCCTATTGACAGCCAAATGAAGGTCCCACTAAAATTGGGTTTCATTACTAGGTTCTCCTAATTCAAAACATGCTGGTTATATAGATGTACCAACAGAGATGGACACACACAAAAAAGAGAGGCACTCTGCCAACAACAAATCACTGACGAACATACTCCTTGCTTCATAAAACCCATACACAACAGTGCTGCTCTGATATAAGGAGAAATAGTTGCAACAATGGCCCAACAAACCCTAGTTAACATGCATTCACCAGAAGAAAATTAGAGTTTCAAATCATACTTCAGAAACCACTGACCACTAATAAACTCAAGTGGTTCAATTGATGATGAATATTCAAATAGATAGCATGCAAAATGGAAGGACAAAGGAAAAAAACACTTCCAAGAGGGACATACTTCTTCAATGCTTGTGCTATGGTCAGTTGAAAGCTGAAGTGCCCTCATCCTTAATCTGCAGATGGAAATCTCTCTGTTCTTGTTTACCTTGTTTATCTGATTGCTCTGATTATGCATTGGAGACTCCTCTGATATTCTGTCTAGCTCCATACGCACTAAAGACTCCCTTGATCTGTTCCGATGCCGCAGATCATCCTTCAGAGAAATGGAATTAGGAATGCGATCGCTCGGCCTCTCCTGTGCCAAAATGATGCGGCTGTCACCAAGGTTCATGACGTACACATCCTGATCCTTCATTAACATCACTAATACACAAGATCCCATTAAAGCAAGCTCTGCATTTTTGTCCAAAGACTTCTCCACCATTTCCATGTATGCCTCTTCAGTCTTTTGAAGTGCGCATGCCATTGCCCTTAAGATGGCATCATGATCCACAGTTCCTGATATGCATTTCCTGATTGGTCCGGATTGTTCCATTATTCTCTCGTCAACAAAGTTATCTTCTCTATGCCAATCATAGCTCCAAGGAAATAGTTTCTTGTGTAGTGACTTTTGCTTCCTGTACATCTTTACAATCTTCGAACTTATGAGGGATTTTCTTGTATTTTGCCACTTTCCAGAAAACAAAAGTGCAGGGATAGTGCCTCTTTTGCTCGAACTATCTCCAGCCCCACCATTTTCTCCTGAAGTAGTGGGATCGTCACCGTGATTAATCGGATTATTCCCTTTCGAATTCAACGAGTGAGATCTTAGCTGCTCCTTTCTCAAGGCTTCCTTGGGAATCAGAGCGCCTGAAATTTGTTGAGAATCCCATGAGCCCCTTCTTCGGCTTCCGGCATCAGATGGCAAGACTGTTTGTCCATCCCTTGATTCCAGCTGGAGCAATTCATAAAGCCGCATACTCTTTCTGCCTTGGCCACTTGAAATTCCAGTTGAAGTGGAAAGAGGAGCACAATTGGAGATGCCAGGCTCCAAACTCCCCTTTTTTCCATTTTCGTCCTCAACTATCTCGCAATTAGATGACTGAACACCAGTAGCACTCAAAGTACAAGAATCTTCCAAGACGCTAGAACTTACTGGAGCCGAATTAGACAGCGGTCGGTCATCAATACTGCATCCTGAAATAGCCTTAGCATTTTCACTTTTCTGAGGCTGACCTTTTGGCTGATCATTTGATGATTTGCATTCATAATCCCATAGCAGACCCTCTAGTTCCTTGTCCACAGCTTTATAAAGATGGGTCATAAGAAAATCCGGTGCATCTGGCCCGCTAAAGCCATCGTATATACCAATATATAGCCACCCTTGCTCTTCAGAAAGCACGACATGAACCCTATCTTCGCCAGCCTTCCCATGAGCCCATTGCAAATTGTTGGCATTTCCATATTCCCCTTCAGATACCCCCATTTCAAGACTATTTCGGGAGGCATCCGATCGAAACTTTGCATCCTTACTATGCCAGGCCAATTGGGTCACTGGGTGCAAGAAAAACCTTTGCATCCAATGAGACCCCATGGAATGTCTAGAAAAGGTTCGAGTAATAGTACTTTTCATGGGCCCGCTGACACTCCTCATGAGACTCTGGAGACCACGTCTTCGACGCCCCCGCGCAAGAGGTGCCGAGAAGTTGGATTTATCTGTACCATCCAGAGGTCCAGACATTACCCCCCTCTCGATCGGCCCGGACATAAAACCACCTCCTTTATCCAAAGGCCCCGATGCAAAACCCCTTTCCAAGGGTCCAGACATGAAAATATTTAATGGTCCAGAGCCACGAGCTATGGGCTGCAAAGGGATCGCAGCAAAGGAGGCTGTGCTCTCAAATGAGGCAGCAGGCTCTAGAACGTCACTGGCAAGCAATGCATTCTGGTTACCGGTCCTAGCAGTGGAAACATTGGCACTGACTGAGGCACCCGAAATAGTCTTGAATGTGGTTTCGGTGAAATTCTTGTTGGGTTTGTTCAAATTCGACGGATCATCTACATTCTCATGCCTAAATGACCCACTTAACGTCTCGGAATCGAGAGTGCTTGAATCAACTGTAAACCGCTCAGAGTTCGATGGCGTGATGGCCGGAGAGTCAAAAACAGTTGGCCTCACATAGCAAAACGAATGGCCCAATCCCTCATCCAAGGGCTCCGAGAACTCCAAATCGACTCCGCCTTTCCCATTGGGAACGAAGCACCCCACAACGCGAGAAGTACTGTTGCCCATCACTATACTCGCAATGAACCTCACAAATGACACCTCTGATGTGGAGGGGTCCTATGACTTTGTACCATGAGCAAATACAGGGCAAAAGAACTCGAGCAAAGACGAGAAAACTCAACAAACCCAACCACCCCACGGTTGCCCAGGTCACTATGCATCGTCAAATTTTCATGCTCAACGAAAAACATATACCAAATATGGAAAACCACTGCAATCCTACTCTCTGGGCCCCTTTTTGCTATCTATCATATTCCCTTGGTCAATTCCAAAGAGCGGGCAGAATAAACAGAGAAAAAAAGACCAAGCGATGATCTGACCTCGGGAGCACTGGTTGAGCAGAGATATAAAAGCAGAGCGAATCGAGCAAACCTGGAAACAGATCTACGAGGAGCAAGGACGGCAAATGGAACACGTCAGAACCAAACAAGGGACGCCCGAAAACCCATTCGGCTCTTTCGGGTTCGTGCAATCTGACGAGGTACCCAAATAAGGAACCGGGCTCATACTGATTCGACCCAGTCGATTGAATCATGCAGACACGGACAACCGTTCAGCAAAGCAATACAGCGCCGCTGGCGTATTCCGACAAAAAAAAAAAAAGGAAAAAAAAAACAGGGGCCGAATAATAAAAGAAAGAAAGAAAGAAGACCCAGCGGAGAAATCAGACAGGAGCGCAGGAAAAAATGGGCTACAGCGGTGATTGCAGAGAGGAGGAAGAGAAACGAGGAGGGGGGGTCAGCAGAAATGCAAAGGAGGGAGGAGAAGGGGGGTGGTGGGTTTTATGTGGGGTGTGTGCAGCTTAAACAATTGGGATTGGGTGTGATGATGCAGAATCAAAGTTGAGTTCATCAAGGAGGGGGTCTCTTTCTTGGGGTTTTCAAATGGTTTGGGAGGGTAGTAAAAAAATAAGAAAAAGGGAAGAAAAAGAGAGAGAGAGGGGAGGCTCAAGAAAAAACAAAAGGGCATGAGGAATCGGACATTTCAATTCGCGTTGAAAAGTTGAGAGACCTCTCTGTCGCTGTGTTGCTGCTCCAAGGACAGACTTTCAGCTCCAAATTTTTGCAGCTCTTTTTCACTCCTCTCTCTCTCTCTCTCTCTCTCTCTCTCTCCTGTTCTTCGTTTCTTGCAATTCTTGAAAAAAAAAAAAGGAGATTTTTTGCCTCCTTTTGCTGGCGAATGATTGATATCTGATAGTGTATTTGGTGCCGCGGGAGTCAATACAGAGATGCCACTGTCCATCATCATGGTCATCGGTGAATTTGGAGATGGGAGGACCATGGTGGGGCTCACCCCACCCCCCCCCCCCCCCCTTCGCCTTTTTGTTTCTCTGAATTGGGTGAAAACGGCCCCTCTTCAAGCCAGACACTACTGCAAAGATTTATCGGATATCAAGAAAGTAATCTCTGGTCAGTCCCCGAATTGGATTTTATTCAAGAGGGTGTGTTGAGACATGTTTTAAATGCAAAGAATGGCCATGTCCGCACGACTCCTCGATTATCTACTTAAGTCGAATATTACCCGTGTCGTCGCTTGTTAATTTTCCTCCGCTTTTTATATAGTTCTTCAATCGAAAGGGCTTTCGAACGACCTCTCACGTGACCACGGATTATCTCTCGCTTCATATGGTCTCTCCTACTCCAAACCTGTACATTACTATTCAACGGCTCTATCGAGAACTTCTTCGAATAGGACATGCCCGTGTAATTGCATGTGGACAGATGATAAATAGTGATTGCGCGCGAATAGTTAGATGTCTTGCTAGATCGAGGATTTCGATCGGGACAGCTTGTTGGAAGTGTTAACAACTTTAAGGCAGGAATTGGGAAATTTCGTAGCTTTCGTTGTTTCCTTCTGACCAATTTTGCCCCCAACAGTTGAAATTGGCCGAAAAAGCGATGGAAAAATTGATGGATGGGCTCAACATCATTGAAAAAGGAGCAAGATGGAGTCCTGGCTCCAGACAATTATCGGAGCTAATCATTTTTGGTTCAATCATTAAAGCAAAAAGGCCCCTTTTATGAAATTATATCCCCCCTCTGAAAAAGGTAAAGATAAAAAAAGAAAAGAAGAAAAGAAAAAAAGAAATGCTAATTCGAGTTGCTCAGAAGAAGCATCATTCACACACTGATGATGACCACGAGTTCACTTTGCCCTATCTCTATGGTGAGAAAAAATGGGTGCTCACCGGTACATAAAAAGTCAATCTTTTCGGGTTATTTCGCAGGGCGATTGCACCGGAATCATGGTTTCGAATCGAGAATGTCGGAACGGTGGAAACCGCTTTATAATAATACCGGCGAGGTGATATCTCCTATCAATTTTCACAGCGGAATGCCAATTTTCTAATTAGGATCGAGAGAGACTGCAATATTCGCGAGCCATTTTACTTTCTTTTCTCTTTTTTCACATTCGGGCTCGTACCGTCACGTGCTCGTCAGAACGTCTAAAGCGGGATGTATTCCGCTTTTTAGCCCATTGTTACTTCATGGGGGATGAGATATTGGAGGACAAAAATTGACCTAAAGATGGAGAGCCATGAATGGACATAAAAAGCATCAACCCCCACCGCCCATATTTCTATAGATGGAAATGGAACTAGTATGTGACCAAAGCTGCACACGAGAGATGGTAAAAGTGGCCAATCTTTGCCAGATGCAAAAGAAGCAGCCCCCCTCCCCGTCCGTGAGCACCCACTCCTCTGACGATGTTGACCAAAACCAAACCCACCCACAAGAATTCAACTCCACAAAATCATATAGTTCGCATCTTTTTGTCAGATCTCTCCTGCGCACAAATGGTGTTAAATTAATCAAATCCGATTTAATTAATTAGTCGCGAAGACTCGAGATTAAATATAACCCGTGGATCAGGAAAAGGGAGAGAAGAAGAAGGAGAGAGAAAAAAAAAACGCGAACGGGTGTCCCCAACCAAAGTCTAAACCTCGAGATTAAAATAATTCATTAAGAAAATCTCTCGAGAGTTGGAACACCCGAGGCTCCGTTCATGAAAACCCAACCCTTCCCGACCTGAAACGAAACGAAACCACGAGTCCGGGATGGACGCCGGGAGAAATATTAAAATAGTGGGGGACGGGTCGATAAAATAAAACGCGAGCCCCTGGAAAGTCCAAATCGATTCCCACGTCCCTCAAAGCCACTCATCATTTATAATAATACTCAACTTTTAAAAATTGGGTATTTATTTTTAGGCCCTTCGGCAGCAGGCAGATGGGGTTAAAAAGAAAAAGAGATATGGACGAGGACTCCCACCAAAAGTGGTCAATTGTAAAAAATTTATATTATTTGAGAACTTATTAAAAAAAAAGATTAATACCACGAAAAACTCTAAACTAGTACACCTGTAATAAATTTACCTCAAACTATTTTTTTGACCACAAAAAACTCCAAACTGGTACACCTGTGACAATTTAACCCCAAACTAATTTTTTGACCACCAAAAGCCCCAAACTAATACACATGTGACAAACTTATCCTCCGTTAGTTTCCGTTAAATTTTATTATCAAATTGCTAAGTTTGATGACACGTAGTAATTGACGGGTGTACCAGTTTGGGGTTTTACCCCTCTGTTTGTCACAAGTTTACCAATTTGTGATTTTTCGTGATATTAATCCAATTTAACGGATACGAACGGAGGGTAGATTTGTCACAAATATACCAGTTTGGGATTTTTAGTGGTCAAAAAATTAGTTTTTGGTAAAATTGTCACATGTGTACCAGTTTGGGGTTTGGGGTGGTCAAAAAATTAGTTCGGGGTCAAATTGTCACAGGTGTACCAGTTTGGGATTTTTGGTGGTCAAAAAATTAGTTCGGGGTAAAATTGTCACAAGTGTACCAGTGTGAGAATTTTGGTGGTCAAAAAAATAACTCAGGGTAAATTTGTCACAGATGTACCAGTTTAGGATTTTTGATAGTCAAAAAATTAGTTCGGAGTAAAATTATCACAGGTGTATCAATTTGGATTTTTCGTAGTATTAACCCTAAAATAAAAGTGGAGGGGAGAAAAAAGAATAATCCCCTTTTTGCCCCCCCAATCGTGTTTAAGTTGATTATTTGCTTGCCAAAAGGTCGTAGGTTTTGCACAATTATGCGGTGTAGAGAATCATGATTAATCACTATTATTCGTGTCTCAAAAAGGCCCCCTCTTCGTGATGATGATCGGCTCCATTTTATCGGGTGTTTTTTTTCACGGATGCACGCCCGAGATCGTTACTTAATCACGATCCGACACGATGATCGCGGAAAAGCATCTGGTTAAATTTATAGCTCTAACGAAGCCTCGTAGGTGTTCATGTTCTTATTCGAAACTTTTTCGCGATTGGGGGGGTGGGGAGAGAAATCAACCATTAATAAAAGGGGGGTTCAGAAGGATATATGCTGTTGCCACTCGATCGAAGCAAAGGAGTTAGGCAGCTCTTTAATAGGGTCTAATTGGGTTAGATTTAGAAATGGATAAGTGCATTGGGAGTTCTAAAATTTGTTACCAAAGTGCAATTGAGTTTTAAAACTTGTAAAAAGCAATTAATTACTGAAACTTGTCATGAAAGTGCAAATGGGTCAAAAGGTACAATCAAGTCCTAAAAACCTATCGAATTGATCCAGCAAGTCGTTCCATCAATTGCACTTTTTGAAAATTTGAGGATTCGATTGCACTTTCGTGACAAGTTTTAGGACTCGATTGCACTTTCGTGACAAGTATTAGGACTTGATTGCACTTTGTGAAAATTTTAAGACTCGATTACACTTTCGTGACAAGTTTTTAGGGCTTCGTATATACTTATCTCATTAAGAATAAGAGCTTATAAGAGAAATGGATTAGAGCAAGTAATTGTGGATTAAGAAAGGAGGAGATGATCTTCTCCACGTTTGCTGAGTTTGTTAGTTGTACTGACTCCACGGGACAAGAGCAGAGCCCGTTCACATGTTCGTTTAAGTCAAACCCATGTGGGGAACTAGTCAATCGTTTCTTGTCTCAACCCATGAACACGAGATTGATACCTTAAAGCCGCATTGAAAAGCTGGGACATATCTGCAATAGATTCACGACCGTGATGTGTGCGCATGTGTGTCCCAGCTGCAATTAGTTCGGCAGCGCAACGATCTTGTAATATGAACACTTGCCCTCTATTGCTTGTTCCAAAAGAAAAGAATTGTCAAAGACTTCTATGACGAGTTGGTTCGCTAATTTAGGGACGGACCCGTACTTTGTTTTTGCTTTTTTTTTTTTAATTATAGATCTCAATTTGGATCTGATAACATTTATGAAATTTCGATAACTATGAACCACTCGAGGTATCTTGGAAGGGCGGCAAGAAAAAAGCCACCTTGTGGGGTCTTTAGTCAGACCTAACTCGTTAATGGCAGCCCGTCGTTGCGGGAGATGAGAGTGGTCGCGACGAGAGTCGGGTGGACCCATGGGACATGATGTTAGGGGAGCGGGGCCGGTGCCGGTGCCGGCGCCGGAGGGGCTAGAGCATCAGTCTTTCGTCTCTCCCCTTCCCTATAATCATTGCAATCAGCGCTGCAAGACTGACTGAATCTAACATAGCAAAACTCCAAAACCTATTCAAAAATCTTGCACGGTAGTACGGTGGGCATTGGGCAAAAGACAGAGACAAGCGACGTAGGAAACTTCAGACGAACTCGGGCATTGCGAAACCCGACCGACGATGCGAAAAACGCCTTCGCTTGTCGAATCCCAAACAGCGATCCGAATCGAAAACTATTTGGCTTTTGTCCATCCCCCGCCCGCAATTGCTCGATGGGATAGGAGGGAGGGAGGGAGGGCGGGGGGGGGCCCCTCCCCATCTCGGAGCGCATTTGCTGGCATTAATTGGCAAGGCCGTGTGCCAATAATAGGGAAGATCTTCAAATAAACAAAACAAAACGCGATGATGATGATGACGACGACGACGATGATTCCCCTTATCCTCATGTGGTGGAGGACTTTCGTCTCCGTTTGCCCCCTTTCAACCCCCCGCGATTCCCAGACACGGACCACCATTTTTCCGAAGAATGTCAACGCCGCGGGTTTTCAGGATCAGAACAACGGGGGCGGTGGCTGATGATTGGAACGGAGACGAGGGATTGCTGCGAATTCGCTCGTACGAAGTTGGGCCCGTCCGTTCGCTTGGGCCTCCTCCTCCTGCATCGTCGGCTGTTGTCTTGTGCTGTCGTCCCCTCTTTGACGCGAGCTCCCGTGCCCGAGAAACTATTCTTGTATTCTTCTTTAGATCGTATCGACGTTCTTTTATCTCACGTGAGTTTCGGGGTTCCTCTGTTGTTGTCGATAGCGTTTTCGGCGCGCGCGAAGCCGAGGATTCGAGTCCCGGATGCCGCCTCGAAACGACGAGGAGGGGTGTCGTGGGCGACGAGTATTAAGGCGGTACTCGTCGTGTCGAGAAAGTATATAGCGTGGTGGTATCTCGTGACTCGTGAGTAGATCTGTCAAATGGGTGGGTCGAGTCATAAATGGTCCGACCCCATTTGACCTATTAACCCATTTATGACCCATTTATGCGTAATGCAATTTTCTTGACCCATACCCGACCCGATCCATACTCAACCCATACCCGATCAGACTCATATTGCTAAAACACTTCCATATTTAATTAAATCTAGGAAAATTCATATCCAAACCGAGATGAGAGTGCGAAGTGAGTGAGCGCAAGGTTGAGTAAGGGCGAGAGAGATGAGTTGAGTCCTTGATGCCGCCTTGAAACGACGAGGAGGCGTGTCGTGGGCGACGAGCATTAAGGCGGTACTTGTTGTGTCGAGAAAGTATATAGCGTGGTGGTATCTCGTGACTCGTAAGTAGACCTGTCAAATGAGTGAATCGGGTCAGGTTTGGGTCGGGTCATAAATGGTCCGACCCAAATTGACCCATTAACCCATTTATGACCCATTTATGCGTAATGCAATTTTCTTGACCCATACCCGACCTGATCCATACTCAACTCATATTCGATCAGACCCATATTGTTAAAACACTTCCATATTTAATTAAATCTAGGAAAATTCATACCCAAACTGAGATGAGAGTGCGAAGTGAGTAAACGCAAGGTTGAGTAAGGGCGAGAGAGATGAGTTGAGTTTAAATCAGTTATAAACTCATTTACGACTCATTTATGACCTATTTAATATTAATATTAGACTTCTACCCATTTATGACTCATTCACTAAATATAACTAATCCATTTATGACAAATTTACTAATATATGAGTTAAGAAATGGGTTTATGACCTATTTTGACAGGTCTACTCGTGAGTGGCGATGGGAAACGTTCGAGAAGTCAAGATAGGCGGTTCGAGGGTCGGCCGGGTTCCGGGCCCGCCGGATGCCCCCGCGACGGGGAGCATCGGGGGCGTTCCCGGGCCATGGATAGCGGGCGGGCTCTGAGTTGGGCCGACGGAAGCAGGGCACGAAACCTCAAACGGTCCCAGGGAAATGGGCCCAATTCGTCAACCCTCCGGAAAGAAAGAAGATCAAAAAACAGAACGTACAAAAAAAACGAACACCCCGTGGCAAAGGAGAAACGCATTGCCTATAATTGCCAAATCGCCCGGTTAGGATTCGCCGGGACCCTCGCGCGAGAACCGCGTGACGAACGAGAGCAGCTGTATCCGGCACGCGATCCGGGCCGCAAGGAAGTTCTCGCGGCGCGGATCAAGTAGAAGGCGGCGATCATCTAAACTTTCCTGCGTTTTTTTTTCTCACACGCTTTTGTACGCAAATGCACATTTCATTTTGTCGTTTTGGAAAACCTCAAATTTTTTGCCGACGGCACGGTTGTCCGAACGAGATTCGAATCCATCGACGACGCTCACAAGCTTCTAACGGCTTAAAAAAACGATCGGCAGTTGGACGGGGACGGGGACGTAAACTCCGAAGCCAGCGTCTGAGATTCCGACCGGGGGGGGGGGGGGCGGCGGCACCGGTGCGCACGGGGCGCACGTTATCCACCAGCCCCCCTCATTTTGTTTTTTTTTACCCGGGGGAAAAAATAAAAAAAATGGAAAAGAAAATGGGAAAAACGGATAGAGAATATGCTGTGCGAGAAACCCCCTTAAGCCCTCTTCGTAGTCGCCGTCGTCCTCCTTTCCACCGGATAACTGCGTCTTATCTCCGAACCGCGAGCGAGAGTCTTCCCTCCGTTTCAATGGCGTCCGCGATCTCCGTGCACGGCCCTCGCCCCATCCTCCTCCTCCCCCCCTCTCAGGTCCGTCCTCTTCTTCTCCGCCGTGCGTGCTTTCTCTCCGCATTTCAATATCGGGAGCCGGTGCTCGTACGAATGGCTGCTCCTGACTTGACTGGAACTGCGGGATTCGAGCTTCCGAGCACCGACTCTGGGTGGAATCGCCGCCTCGGCTCTCGGAGTCAATCGCGTCCGACTAGTCGGCGAGCTGGATCGACGTTGCATTTTGGGCTGTGTCTCCCTGCGATTGGAAGTTAGAAGCGGTAGCTCGGTCGTTATGATTTTGGTATTTTTAGAGATGGACCTTCCTAAATTGGGAGCGTCTGCGGTTTCCCTACTCAAAAAGCGCTTGCTAAAATCTGCTAGGAAGGATGGGTCTGTGCTCGTTGTGTTATCGGGAACTGTTTTGGTGCTCTGGTGTCAGTTGCTTCCGATTTCGAAATGTGGTTGTCCGCATTGTCGCTCTTGTTAGTTTCGTTCGACGATAAGGTTTGTTGATGGGCTATTCCACTATGTTAAATGTTCCAGTCTGAGCAAAGAGTGATGGATATTCGTCCCATGTAGTTAGAATTAGGTGGGAGAGGTGAATGAAACCAAATATGCATAACGACTCAGCGTGTGCGGAGTCAGTATATGTTTAGTGCATAGATTTTTTCGGGGACTTTTTACGGTTGGCGTTCGTGCGAGATGATGTAGGTTCGATATTTATAAGGTCCATGTGTTTGATGCTCAGTGCGTGGTTCTAGCACTCACGCTTCATTTGATTAATGTGATTGGAACCAACATGTGGTCTTGCAGGGTACTAATGGTAAAGATGTTACCGAAATGGGTAAGGCGCCTACGAGCTTTCAAGTTGCTAGCATGCAGCAAAGGAAGTATGGGGCGACATGCTGTGCGGCCAGAGGATTAACATCTAGATCTCACTATGCCTCCAGCTTGGCATTCAAACAATTTTCTAAAACCCCCTCCATCAAATATGACAGGATGGTTGAGATCAAGTCTATGGCCACGGTCAGTATCTTGTTATTTCACTATCTTAGTTTCTAACTATAATTTTCATATGTATTTGGACTATTTGCATTCTCAAATGAAATGAAGTATGTAAAACTGTGGAAACTTTTAAAAACCGAAGGGAGCATAGATTTTCAGGTGGCCGAATTTAGCTTCTATGTTAATAAACATGCCGCAATCTCTTGTTGTTGTTGTTGCTTCTTTTGAAATACCATCTTTGCGATTTTATTGATGCTTGCTTTCATTTCGATTGTAACAAACATGTTCTGTTGCTTCAGGACTTGGGTCTGCAGGCGAAAGTAACAAACAAATGCTTCTTTGACGTGGAAATTGGGGGAGAACCTGCTGGTAGAATAGTAATGGGCCTCTTTGGAGATGATGTTCCAAAAACTGTTGAGAACTTCCGTGCTTTATGCACAGGCAAGCTTTCTTCGTATAGTTCAGTATAAAGAGGCGCTATTTTCTGGAACAAGACTTTTTGGTAGGGTGCATTCCACTCTTTAACTTGTGAAATTCTCGTGCAGGTGAAAAGGGATATGGCTACAAAGGATGCTCCTTCCATCGTATCATTAAGGACTTTATGATCCAGGGAGGGGATTTCACTAGAGGAAATGTGGGTCCTCTTGCTCTCTGTGTGTGAAAGAGGAGGGGGTAGGGGTTGGGGGTGGGGGTGGGTGGTTGCGGGGATATTATTTCAGTGCTTTTGTGTGGCAAAGTGTTACTCTCATGAAAGTTAATTTTCTGGTTTTGGTTGGCTTGCAGGGAACTGGAGGAAAGAGCATCTATGGTTCAAGTTTTGAAGACGAGAACTTTGCATGTATGCTCCCTTCATTTTACCCAAGAAGTAGCTCTGATAGTTCAAGCATTTCAAAATTCACTTCCTTGTGGTTTAACCTTGGTTGCATTTGTCTGATAGATAGGTGACGAGTGAGGTTGAGAAGCATTTGTTATATACTGTCTTGTTCTATTTGCAGTGAAGCATGTCGGACCTGGAGTATTGAGCATGGCAAACGCTGGCCCTAACACTAACGGGAGCCAATTTTTCATATGCACTGTAAAGGTGATATTGCTCAACTGATGACTGGTATTTCCATTAGCAAAGTCTTTACCCACGTATTCAGAACGTAGTAATACCACACGGCCACATTTCTGACACAGTCCCTCTGACTTTCACCACTTCATCCAAAGTGCAAGGAAGGATACTTTTGGATGTCCATATTTTGTGGCTTTAGTGCTGACTGCCTTGTTTCATTATAAGTTTTGTGAACAAGACTACTTGAACTTTTTGGGCTCTTCTTGCACTGCTCCATCCCATCTGTCCTTCAATATTATAGCTTGATGATTGTTATCAAAGTTCGACTTTGAGGTTAGATGATTATCCAAGCAGACTTTGGTTGAAATATGCAGAGTTGTAGTTATACCGAGTGTTCCCCTTATCTAACAATTTTTCATTTCCTGTATTCTTGTTAGACTCCATGGTTGGACAATCGCCACGTTGTGTTCGGACAGGTTGTCGACGGGATAGATGTTGTGCAGAAACTTGAATCTCAGGAGACAAGTCGATCGGATGTGCCTCGGCAGCCATGCAGAATTGTGAACTGTGGGGAACTTCCCCTAGACGGTTGATTCACACGAGCTGGCTTGTTGCAATGCGGAGCACAAATTTTGGTAACGTGTTCCGGTTTCGTCAAGTTTCATACGACAGCTCTTCGTCGGGTCAGGATTTTTTTAACTGGACGTTCATGTTTGCTTGGAGACTGCATCGGTGATTCTGACTTCAGTGGTAGCCCATGAAATTTGGGTTCTGTGTTAGAATTTTTCCTTAAGAGGAAAGTGAATTTTCAAATGACCCGTGATTTTACTCGTACGCTACTCTGATACTGCAAAGCGCGAAGTCTTTTGAGGCTCTATTGCAAATACAATTTCTCAATTGCTCGGACACTTCTCATTGGCTTGTCAGCAGAAATGTTTGCACTGGTTTATGTTGACATAGCAGATGGTCATCGATTTTGATCCTAAATATGGAGAATATGTTGTGTTCATCGCAATATTTAATTGAGCTATAATTATTGCTTATTTTGAGTGAGCTAGCGATCGAAATGTTTAGTTCGAGCTATTGCGATTGCTCATTTTGAGCGAGCCCGTTAAGGGTTGGACTAAAGTCAGAGCGACTATGTTACGTAAACAAATCGAGCTTATACCATAGACGAAATTGGGTTTTCTAGAATTAAGGAGCGATTGAGTGATTCGAATTTATGATCAGGAGGAGCTCCAAATCACTCCGGAGGAAGTTTTAACCAACTCGACCGATGATTTCCAGTGGTCAGAATGCATTAAGTCTAGAAAGCGTTAGTAATTGCAAAAAGTGCAAATAGATGGCGGTAATTAAAGAGGTGGCGAGCTTAATTTGCATTCGGCAAATTTGTTTGATTGGTTGGATTTCCATTTCGTTCTTTTTTCTCATTTTCTGCGAGTTTCATAATCTGACGTAGTTTTCATTCACTTTGGAGCATTCAAAATTAAATCATATAATTCACAACCCTCGATGGGTGCATTTTTCGCGTGATTTTTTGTAATGTTAACTTTTTTCAGTTTTGGTCAAAAAAGTTGACAATACAAATCGTGGGAGACCGAGCTTCTGTACGAAACCGAATTTCCGGTCAATATCCAAAAGAGAATTGAATTCTGGTCTTTTTTTTTTTTAGTAACGGAACCCCATGCGACGCAGTAGAGAATCGCCGCCAAGTGGCCATGGGATTCGAACTCCTACCCTTCGTGGGGGAGGGGAGCCCGAAGCCAGCGCAGCCGCTGAGGGCGGTGGTCTGATCTCTCTTTCTTAATCGCCAAAAAAACAGAAAAGAGAGAAAAACAAAATAAAATAACTGAAAATGCAAAACTCGAGTCGGGTCCCCGACCCGATCCTCCGGTCGCCGGTTCTCAAACTGCCAAACCTACAAGTCTGGCTGGCTTCAGCGCGCGTTGTCTCCTTCCTCACCTCCAACTTTCATGGCGGAGACAGACTCCCACGTAGCTCCTTCCTGCTCGGACGCCTGATTCGGAAGCCGCCCCTCGAGCACCGCCGCCGCCGCGAACGTTTGGCGCCCGCCGGTTCGTTCGCAGCTCGGCTGGATTTTTCCCCTCGCGGCTCCATCGTCTCTCCCTATATTTCGCGCCAGGAGTGACGTCCGTCGTCCGTGGATGGTGGTGGAATGGCGCGGCTGAAGGACCTCAACCGGCTCGTGAACGGCCTGTCTCTCGTCGCCAAGGAGATCGCCAAGCGCTCGCCGGTCTTCGAGACCGCTCGGAACGGCGACGTCGAAGGGCTGATCCGATCCGCCGCCAAGCAGGCCCTCGTCTCGGCGACGGACTTGTCGGGCCTCACCAAGGGCAAGGTCCGCGACTTCTCTGGGCCTCGGCCGAGGGAATCCGTCGTGTACTTCGACCGTTCGGCTGAAGCGGCCCAATCCGGCGGCGATTCGGAGCAAAAGCATCCGGCTGGTGATGATGGGGGAATTGATAATGCGGAGGTTGTGCGAGCGAATGATCCTGGTTCTCAAAATCTGGCGGATGGGAATGCGGAGAAAACGGGCAGTTCGCTGGAGGAATTAGATGATCAAGGTGTTTCGGAAGGGAATAAGTCTCACAGCTTGGCTGAGGAGGTGAATGCGGTGGATGTAGGAGGTGGAGAGATGGTTGCAGCGCCGCTGCCGGCAAAACGGCGGAAGCCAAGGGAGAGGAGAGTCCCTGCGACGCCGTTCTCAAGAGCGCTTGGGTGAGTGTAATTATCGCTGTTCGATGAATTTTACGACTTAAGGGGGCTGAAGATAGTTTTGACATAAACAATTTAAACAGAGGTGATCTGCAGTGCTGTTGCTAGCAGGACAAAGGCAGTTAGGCAATTCAGATTATGTGGTGATTGATGTTTACTTAAGTGTGAAATTCGGGGTATGAGGTCCTGCGAAAAATGTGTCATGACATAATTTGTCTTTCTTTCAGATGAAATCTACAATTCACCGGAACAAATAGATAGGTTGGGCTCTTAAACGTTGTAGAAAGCATTGCCATCTATGTCTGGAGCAAACTGGACTAAACAACTTTTAACACTTTACAGAATTGTTTTGGCATATATTGCATGTCCCTCTGAGATATGCCGATGCATGATCCTAGCAATTCTGACACGTCGATTATGTTTTACTTATGACCAGGGTTGGGGTTATAGATGCATCTCTTTTAAGATTTGAATGTTAACTTTTTAATTGTGCGAAATTAGTCTTTTGAGTCCTAACTTAAATCCTATAATTGCTTAAGGTTTGCTGGTTTAGGTGCTGGTCTCGCATGGGGTACCATTCAGGAATCTACCAAGAGGCTCGTCTATGGTACACCGAAAGAACAAGACAAGCAATCTGCTCTCTCTCCTTTTTTAACCGAAAGCAATGCGGAACGCTTGGCTATTGCTCTATGTAGGATGCGTGGGGCCGCTCTCAAATTGGGACAGATGTTGAGCATACAAGATGAGTCTCTTGTGCCTGCCCCGGTACCATAGCTCTCCATTATGCTTGGCTGTTGCGTTGTCGTTTCTTATAACAAACTCATGTTCTATGCACTCAGACCAAAATAGTTTTTCATTTTGTTCATGCATAGATTTTGGCGGCTCTGGACATTGTTCGTCAAGGAGCAGATGTGATGCCGAGAAGTCAGCTCAATCAAGTCTTGGATGCTGAATTAGGTCCTAATTGGTCATCAAAATTGAGTAGTTTTGATTATGAACCAATAGCTGCAGCTAGCATTGGCCAGGTCATCAAAATTGAGTAGTTTTGATTATGTCTAATTTGATTAGCAACTGTCTTTCCATTTGCCGTCTCTAAGTTTGAAATTTCTGCCGCCTTTGTGTTATTGTTATTTTGTTTCTGAATCTCTAGATGGTCAAGGGTGAGCTTCCCCTCCCAGAAATTATGCGAACTTCATATTTCACTTAGCAACATTTTTTGTTTGTTGAGACACCTTCTATTGGATGTTTTTTGCTCTCTTCTGTCTTCTTTATCGTTGGTCTTGTGTTTAGTCCCCTTTTCGAATGCCATGTTGACTCGTTCTCTTCATAATTTTCATGTGCATATATTTCCACTTGTCCTCTAATACTTGTATATATCCTATGAAGATTTGTCTAATCTAAAACCAGACTGCTCTTATCTTTCACGAAGTATTCCACAAGATGGCTAGCCCTCATATGGCAGCTCTTTATAATCTTGTTTGGGCTTGTTAATCTCGTGCTTACAGTTCTTAGAATGATTTCAGGTTCACCAAGCCGTCACGAAGGATGGCCAGCACGTTGCAATGAAAATTCAATATCCTGGTGTTGCAAATAGTATCGAGAGTGACATTGAGAATGTAAAACTTCTTTTGGATTATACAAATTTGATTCCAAAAGGACTTTATCTTGACAGGGCCATGAAGGTAACTAAATGTTTGTTTTTATTTACTTAGTATCCATATCCCTATACTGCTGGGAGTGATTGGGAGGACCTTTGTCCCCCTGCACCACTGCTAGAACAAATCATTATCTTTATTTTAATTGTTTTTGTTTACCTAAGGATAAACCGTGAGATGTTGAATTGAACGGAGTCTGCAAACTCTTCTTTTTATTCTTAGTAAACCCACTACTCTAGGTCACCTAGAAGGTTGACTATCAACATATAGGAGTGGATTTGCAAAATCGGTGGGTAAATTTATTCCCTATACTTCTCGCAGGTGGCTAAAGAGGAATTGTCTCGTGAATGTGACTATGAACTAGAGGCAAGTAATCAAAAAAGGTTCCAAGACCTTCTATCTGGCGTGAAAGGGTTTTATGTGCCAAAGGTGTTGGATAACATTTCAAGCAAGAGAGTTTTGACTACGGAGCTTGTTCAAGGTACTATACTTATTATGAATGACTACTCTGATGCTATACTGTAGCAGTTCAGCAGTTATGTACTTCTAGTGTTGATGGATACAACCTTCTTGGCCACTTGTTCAATTTTCCTGAAAATGGGAGCAAAATCATTGTGAACAGAATGGGGAACATAAAACGATGAAACCTGAGTTTTGAATACACCGGTAAAACCCAGGATATGGAAAATATGGGAAGGGAACTAGATGAAATTTTTTCAGCATTATTTTTGTCTGCACCCTTATGTTCTCACTGATATGGAGTATGCAGCAAACTAGAATGCTTGATTGTGAGGATTTAAGAAATGGATGGAACTGATGCTTAAAGAGCTTGATCCAAGGTTTTTGAAGCTCTATATTTCCATGCTTAGTACAAGAAGACAATGTGGAATGGGAAGGACAGACCTTAAAATCTTGTCTGTGGAGATGATTAGCTGATTTTTAGGGTAATTTTGATTGAATACAGTGAACTTAGACTAGTATATGAAGAAACTTATTAGGTAGATTCTTCATATTCTTATTACCATCTTCATGAAAAGTACTGGGAAAAATTTTGCCAGTGATGAAAACTGCTGCTGATGTAACTGCTACTGCACAATGTGGCAGAGCTGCAGAATAGCAAAATCAGTGATTCAAGGTGTCAATCATTTTAGACTTGTCCTTAGTTGAAGTTCCTTGCACTGTGTTGTTGCTTTTCCGCTGAAGCCAAAAGCTTCTACCGGGTTGTACCGCTATAGTGGCCGCGCAATTTAAATTTCAAGTCAATGTGGTCATTGTATAGAGTGTCGTTAAGACTAAATCTTGAATTTCAGAGTATTATTGGAATGTAATTTACAAAATATGCTGCATATGCTGTCCCAACTGTACTATAAATCATAGTACTTCCTTTTGCTGGACTAGTATCGGATTTTTTCTCTTTTTCACATTTGGTTGATGATTGTCATTAGAAAGGTCTAGCTTGATTGGGGGAAGTAGTGGAAGTAAACACTGTCAATGACATAATGATGAGTTTCTTATTGGGCAGGTGTTCCGATTGATAAGGTGGCATTTCTTGACCAAGAAACTCGTAATTATGTTGCGAAGAAATTGCTCGAAATCACCTTAATGGAGCTATTTGTCTTCCGTTTCATGCAGGCAAGCTGTTCTTTAACAACCTTTTTTGTTTCATCCTCGACATATGTTCAAACCTAGGTTCACCCAGATACTTTCCCTACACACACACACACAATTGAGTTCGTTGTCTTTGAAGTTAGAACTTAGTGCATTGTGCCTGACTGATAAAGACTGTTTCATTGGTAAGTTAGAAATTAACTTAAAGAGCACCACTGATGATGGGAGAGAATATTGGTGTGCCTTTTCACTTGGTTAAGTTCATTCCTTATGAAGCCCTACTTCTGTCTGGCCTTCTCATGACAATTACCTCCACTATAAAACTTGGCTACTGGCAAATTCATGTACAAAGCTTATGTTGCAGGAGGGGCCATCATATAGTTGGATCAAGCAGTTGCTTGGTTTTCAGTAACTTTTTGATAGTCTGCTGTTTGTAGTTAATTAAAACATATCTATTCTGTTCTTCAGCCAGCCCGGCAAAAACTTTCTGTGGTTGTTCATAGAGCAATCCCTCCATACGGTTCTTTCTTTGAGAGTCACCCTACCCAGTGATGAGGGAGAGAGCTCGACCATATCAGGAGTTTTATTGAAGAACTTTCTGTTAATGATTTGCTCTTGTCATCCTTTGCTTATAACATGCTTGCCTGATGCAGACTGATCCTAACTGGAGCAACTTTTTGTATGATGAGGCTACAAGAACAATTAATCTCATAGACTTCGGAGCAGCTCGTGATTACTCTAAGAGTTTCGTGGATGACTATCTACGCATGGTGAATTTGTTGTTTCTCTCTTGACTTTTCCTTTGTTCCTGAAATTATATTGTAGAAAATCCACAATCACCGTCTGTTGCTGTCAAAGGTCCAAGTAAACCTAGGCATCATCATGCGGCTTGAAGTGATTTTTACTCATGTTATGAGCTTTCAACAAGAGTCATTAAAATGTGCTTGCTGTTAATGCCAGTGTTTTCAAGTGGGATGAGATCTATTCAATTGAGTTTTGAGATTCATTCAAACTACTTTGAGGAATGCTACTCCACTTGCGAAACGCTGCTAGAACTGCTGCATTGATTTGTAGGAACAATCTTCTTAAGGTTGGGTGAAATAAGCGACTTTCTCTTGATGCTTAATTAGGTTGTTGCCTGCGCAAATCAAGATAGAGATGCGGTCATTGAGATGTCCCAGAGACTCGGGTTTCTCACAGGAGAGGAGTCAATTGTCATGTTAGATGCTCATGTTCAGGGTGGCTTTGTGGTTGGATTGCCCTTCTCGAAGCCTGGCGGTTATGACTTCCGTTCCACTAATATCACTCAAAGCATTTCAAACTTGGGGGCGACCATGTTGAGGCACAGGCTTACACCACCACCTGATGAGGCCTACAGTCTCCATCGCAAGCTTTCAGGCGCTTTCTTGGCTTGCATCAAGCTTGGGGCTGTCGTGCCCTGCAGAGAGTTGTTATTTAAAGTGTATGAGCACCATCAGTTTGGCCATGAAGACGATGGTAGCGCGATGTTGTCGAGCGGCTCAGTCTTTTGAGGCACAATTCTTTTAGATTCTTACATTTCTGTATTGATTCTTTTTGTGCAATAATTTTGGGATGCAATCCTGTCCCAGGTCTTGTATTAGGACATAGTTTTCCTCTTTTGAGCAAAGTCGACAACTGCAGACCCAGAGTTTGCTGCAATAAACTTTTTCGGCTAATCATGTCAATTATGGTCTTCCTCCCATTCATTTTTCAGGGGTGAAAGATGTTATTTAGTGTCAACTACACAGGAATAGAGTTCCTCCTATGTTCCCAAGTTCCATTTGATTTTGGTCGATGTCTTTGTTGGGCATATTGAGGAAGGAAAATTTGGTTAAAAGAGAAGAAAATGCTACTGACATATTGTATTGAATAATGACAGATCTGCAAATCCGAACGCACGAGAGTTTAACGAATCTAAACGGTAGTTGTTCGATTTTAAGCGCTTGATCGGCATGCGATTTTAGGGTGCGCGTAGATCAGTTGGGTCCCCTATAGAAGAAAAGGTTTGGACGTGCAAATTACAGGAATGTTTAGGTTATATAGATGCGGCTGTGGAAGGGGAACGCATCCGAGAACAGAGAGAGCTTTCATCCTGTTACCGCCCCATGCTACTACTTCAGGACCGAGAGCGACAGGTCTTTGCACCCACCGAACCGGCGCTGGCTTGATCTGTTTGGGATTAAATTTGAACAAGAAGCATTTCTTCTTTCCCATCAAAAAAATACATGTGAAGCTACGTATTGACATTTGCATGTGAGGAAAGGAACATCTTCAGTTTTTAGGATTAGAAAGAGCCAAAAGTGTAGGCATCGCAACATTCATATCAAGGAAAACTGAAAATAGAAAAGAATAAAAGAAAAAAAGTCGGTCCAAACACGGCAGTAACTACTTGGATTGCAAGATCACGGAGCGAACGGCTAAAAAGGCGTCAACTCACTCTAGGCTTCATACTCTAATGAAAAAATTGCGACGCTGTAATTGATATTTGTTGCCGGAGCGAAAGAGGGAAAGAGAAAGCTAAAAACGGTTAAATCGAGAAAGTCGTTTGTATATATGCTAAATTGAATTTCGATTGAATAGAAATGACGAATCAAATGTGAATCGATACAAGTCATCACATCCGACGACTCAAATACAATTCAGCACATTTATATGGTGCAAAACATCCATTGCCCACGTTCGATTCCCGCGAGTTTCAGGCATATAGCGGATCTGGTTTCCCATGCGTCGGTGGCGCATGCAATAAGGATCACAAGGTTAACGGGGAGAGAGAGAGAGAGAGAGAGAGAGAGAGAGAGAGAGAGAAATTATAAAGAAATGAATCCAGAGAAGACGACAACATTCTCTGTGCATACGCGATTCTTGTTCACACACAAAGAAATGTTTTTTAATCCTTTTTCCAGTTCCGTTGCACCCCGACGAACAACAGTAACGCCCCTCGCCGTCACATTAGCATTAAAAAAAAGGACCAGAAATTTCTCTCTTCAGCGTAAGAAGCTGATAAAGCTTTCGATTTTTCTTGCTTGTTTTGTTCGGTTTCGTTTGGAAGGTAAAGATCCTGCCTTTCTTGAGGTCCGCGTTATGGCGTGAATTTTCACGGCCTCCTAGTTAGGAAAACAGCATCCGGGGAAGATATGGCCAGCTGCAGAGTTGTGGAAATATAGCCTGCATTTTCAAGACTTCTCCTTTGGCCTTCCGAATAAAAAAGGCAAAAAGAGATCTACCCGCGATGAAAGTATCGAAGTAGCGACGACCGCGGCCTCGGGCTTGTGATTTCTTTACCCTTCCATATAATAATACGCCGAGGAATGATTGTGTCCCGTGTGCGAGGGAAGGAGGTGCTGGCAGTGAACAGTGCCCCCGGGAAAAGGAAAGGAGGGTTCTTGGGAGAACCTGCGCCGGAGAGGGAGGCGAAAAGCAAGAGAATGGAGCTGAACCCGAGACTGGTGGTGTTGGTATGGTGCCTGTGTTTCGCTTTTGGGTTTGCGCTGTGCAGATCTGAGGTGGGTCTTGAGGATCTCCGGGAAGGGGAGGGTCTTTTCTCTTACTTGGAGAGCGATGCGGTCTCGCCCTCCGCTTCGCAGCCGCTCATGGTTGGCCTCACTCTCATTGAGGGTGCTGCTGCCAAAGGAGCTGGTACTATCTCAGACTTTTCTTAACACCCCTCCTTGTTTTTTAATGACTTTCGGATCGTAAGTGGTGCAGGATTCATAGTTAAGAAGGTTGGTGTTTCTCTGTATGTAGTAGTGTCTGGGTTCGCTTCATTCGTAGGCAACTTATGGATTTACAAGATTTTGGTCTTTCTTGTTTATTAAGCTGCGTCATTTTGTGTCCCCGGTTAGAATTCTGCTCTCGCTTTTCCAGATATTGATTATTGTGCACGTAACTAAGACGGGCTCGCGTCTTATTTCTTGGAGATTTTCTTTTGGTTGATCCACTGTTCTGTTCCTAACATCCTCGTGCCATTGGTTGTTTTGCCTTTTTCGTTTGAGCTCACAGTAGAATGACAAGGTTTTTCTTTTTTCTTTTGGGTGTTTTTTGAGAATATTCGAAGCTGAAAAATTGACGTTTGAGATTCTCATTTAATCTTGTTCTACAATGTTCAGTCTGCTTAGATGGTACATTGCCCGGTTATCATCTTCACAATGGCTCTGGATCTGGTGCAAACAGTTGGGTCGTCCATTTAGAGGTTTGATGAATGGACTTTATGTTATATGATTTAAAAGAGCATACTTAAGCTAGTTAATTTTGCAAACTTATGTTATTTCTTCTCTTCTGCATGGTTTTCTTGCTCAGTTCTTCATGGCACTCCAATTCTTGATTCTTTTTCTGCCTGCATTTTCTATAAGCCATTTTATGTTGTCCAACATTAATGTAGGGTGGGGGATGGTGCAATACAGTGAGGAATTGCGTTTACAGGAAAACTACTCGTCGTGGTTCATCAAAGTTTATGGAGAAGGAAGTAGCTTTCACAGGAATATTGAGTAATAAAGCTGAAGAAAACCCTGGTATTTAAAACCTATTAACGATTCAATCTGTCTCGAAACGATTCTTTGCCATAGTTTATTCAAATTGGAACTGTCATACGAGCGATTGTGCTTTGCTGGCAGATTTTTTCAATTGGAACACAGTAAGGATACGGTACTGTGATGGGGCTTCTTTCAATGGAGCAGGCCAGGATGAGGTTGGTTGGAAGATTCTAAGCTTTTGTATTCTCTATTGTTCCGTAGAAATGATTACTGTTGTGGTCTTAGTATACAGTCATAAGAGTTTACATCATAGGCCAGCCAAATATTTAAATGATTCATGAAACACACCTGCTTCTGTGTGGCACACCGGCACATTCCCTGATAATGGTACTTTCAATCATCTTCCCGTATACATGACCTCTTTTAGCTGCATTCCAATCCATAGGTAGCAAGTCATTGATAACCACTTCAACTTGTGCGTGCATGGCACCCTCACCGGAGGGTGCGTTTGCTCATGTGTATGTGTGTTTTCGAAATCAAAGCTTAAAAAGCAATTTAAATTTTTTTTTCATTTCAGGCTGCGCAGCTCTACTTTCGAGGACAGCAAATCTGGTTGGCAGCAATCGACGAGTTGATGTCCAAGGGAATGAAGAATGCTGATCAGGTTTTTGAGACTTTCTCCAATTGCTTTCAGCCTTTCTCAGCTTCAGTCAATTCATCATCAGATTTTCGCAGGCTCTTCTCTCTGGATGCTCTGCCGGCGGTCTAGCATCTATATTGCACTGCGACGAGTTTGCCAACTTTTTCCCAAAGACCACCAAAGTGAAATGCTTAAGTGATGCGGGGATGTTCCTTGATGCGTATGAAGCTCTCTTTTGGGTTCTTGATGTCTTCATCAAATGGCTTAGAGTTTTTGTTTTGACTGAGAATTTTCTTTCGCAATGCAGAGTAGATGTTTCTGGGGGCCGTGCTCTCCGGAATATGTTCAACGGTGTAGTCACCTTGCAGGTTGCATTTCACCACCTCTTGACATTTATAGTAGCTTTCCTTCATGGTTTCTAATTTTTATTTGATGCTAATGGATTTTACAAGAATTCTTCATTTGGGCCTAGTCTATGTGTTAACTTAATGGATGTGGTAATTTATGCTAGTAACTCTGTTCTCTAGATCAAGTTGGGTGGTGAATAACTCAATAACTTTGTCATCTTTGCATGTCTCAGTTTTCCAATTTTATAATTCCGGTTTACTGTTTTAGGATGTGAAAGAAAATTTGCCTAGTACCTGTACCAGCCATCTGGATCCTACTTCGGTACTCTTCTCTTAATTTCTTTACTCACTATGGAAAATTTCAGCATTTTTGCAGATTAACCCTTCCTCTCTCTTTCTCTCAGTGCTTCTTCCCACAGAATTTGGTTGCAAACATTAAGACTCCAATGTTCCTATTAAATGCTGCGTATGACGTATGGCAGGTAAGCTTTTCTTGTTTTGTGTGGTCTTCCCTGTGGTAACTGTCCTTGGTAAACCTGTTTTTAGTACTGCGTTTAGTTTTGAGAGGGCCATCATATGGTTCAGACGGTGATGCTGTCAATGAAGTCGAACCATTATTGCTCCTCTGCTACCTTGAACATTCAAGAGGCAGAGATATATCAAAATATATTAAAAAAAAAAAGAAACGAAGTTAGTGATTGACGGTGCATGGTTTCAACTGTTATTTATAATGGTAAAACTAAAACTGGGTTACTGCGTAATGGAACTGTTATTGAACTTCTCGTAAAATTAAACACTGCCTACTCTTTTCGAGTGTAAAATCCACGTCTTGGCACGGTTGCTCTCTCCGGACCCTTTGGTGCTGAAAAAGTCTCATCTCTTGAAATGCTTTTAACAGGTCCATGAAAGTTTGGCTCCACGATCAGCCGATCCTAATGGCACTTGGACTGATTGCAAAATGAACCATGCACGTTGTAATTCATCACAGATACAGTTCTTACAAGGTGATTCGATTTGTTTATGCGGACTATTACATGGAGGCAGCCTCCAAATACTTAATGGGGTCTTCCCCTTTGTCCATTTGATAATGCAGATTTCAGGAACCAAATGCTCAAAGCAATAAACACTTTCTCTAGGTCTGATCAAAATGGTTTATTTATCAATTCCTGTTTTGCTCACTGCCAGTCTGAGAGACAGGACACGTGGTTTGCCAGTGATTCTCCTCTTATTAGAAATAAGGTATGATAAACAGGCGAACATCTTTAGGAATGTAACAATATGCCCTAATTAGTATGCAGAAGGTGCCTTCCAGACTTGAGATTTTCCTTTTTTCCTTTATGATAGGATTGTTAGTTCTCATGTGAATGTTGCCGAGAGGCTGTAGCTTCCAAATGCATTTAATTAAATTTTATGCACGTTCATATCCCGATTCTCTTCTCATGCAGGGGGTTGCAGAATCTGTAGGAGACTGGTTTTTCGATAGAGCGACTGTTAAAGCCATCGATTGTGCTTACCCCTGTGATAAGACCTGTCACAATCTGGACTCTACTCGCTAACTTATTAGGGAGATTGATTCTCCCTATCAGCAATTTTCGAGGGCTGTAAGATTGGCTTGTAAAATAAGGTGTTCCTGCTAAATTGGCAGAGCAACATCATTATATATGTCAGAAATATAGAAGGAATTACAGAGGACAATGAGACGAAAAGGCATTTTTTGCTGGAATCAACCATATCCGCGACCCCTTTGTGAGCAAGTTTGTCGCAAGTTCTCCCTGAAATGTTTCTGTCAAGCTTGAGAACTCGGGACAATGTGATGTGCGATTCGATCCTTGTGCGTATCAACAAGATTTATTTCTTCTAAGATCTCACTGATGCTTTGTGCATGTTTTGCTTGGTTTTCGACAAGTAGCCTTTTGAGGATCCAAACAGAGGAATTCGATTCACATTTTCCGTCTGCTCATGCGACTCTTGAGGAGCGGTATGGCCTTAGATATATAGGTATAGATTATCGTCTTCTCTCTACATGATTTGGCAGGTTCCAAGTCCCAACTCGGTGTGGAGGGTTTATGCGACCGAGATAACGGGCACCATTCGTCGCAACTGATTTCGCAATCGAGATGGGGAGTATATGGACCAATATTTGTTTGCACGCCACGAAGCTACACATCCCGACTAGAGGATGATGCGGAGATCCTGAACCTAATGGGAGCCAAAAAAGAAGTTTCACTAGGTCAAGGATTGGTTCGGCATTACGCATCTGTTCCTAACGGTCCGTATGAACCATCGAATACACGAGCAGCCACCAATTGATAAGAAAGTCCTTGTGACCAGAGCGTCTCCCGTGGCAGTGGTTCGCTTTTACTATTTAACAAATGCCCAATTCCTTGTCTGTGCCAATGGCTTTTCCCCGAGACAGGAATTCGTCAGTTGGCGGCGATTCAGTTTTTCCTAGGAATACCGTCTACGTGCTTTATATCTTAATCTTTAGCAATCATTTTAGGTTGTCGTCTCGCCTCATCTTTGTTATAGCCTCGCAAGCCAGTCAGACAACAACACCTACCAAAAACAATTCTTCCACCAGCCGACAGTCTTCCGTAGATTTTCCAGAAATTGGTTCAGTGCTGTCACACCCCCGAGAACCAAATCGAGAATCGCGACGCCTGTCATCTTTTTCTTCCAAAGTTCCACCATATCAGCAGATCTCCCTCGACATTGCTCCCACCCAGACAAACAAGCAAAGTTCCCGATTCTCTTGGGACTCCGGAAAAAAAGAAAAAAGAACACGATACCCAGGAATCTTTCGGCCGATGAAGTTCAAGTTCCCATGACAGACAAGACCACGCTTCTTCGCTTCGCTCTTTCCGAGATCCCAGTCAACGTGCCCCAAAAACACAAAAGGGAGAAGAGAAGAGGCGAAACGCGATCAGGGGCCGTGTGGTTTTTCTCGGTCCTCCCCACGATCGCTGGAATCATCACCCCCACCCACCCACCCACCAGTCTATGATGACCCAAGACCCCAAAAAGATCGTTCTTTTTTCCCTGCACGAATTCCTTATTGTATTCACAGCTGATGACGATGATGATGATGATATATATGTACAGAAAGCGATGAACAGTAAGGAGGAGCGATGATCGAGAACAGGATCACCGAAGACAACCCCCCCCTGAAGACCACACGCCAGTCCCTGAACCCAATCCAGGGACTGCTGAGGAAAAAGAACGCCAAAGCTCTGACGAAATTCAGTCCCTAGAAAAAGCGAAAAAGATGCTCTTCCTGCTGCAGGGTGGAGAGATCGAAGAACCCTCTCCCTCAATCTCGGCCCCCCGATTAAAAAAAAAAGCGACAAAACACCGGGAAATTCGACAAGAGAAGGACAGTTTCAAAGCCGGAAAACAGAAAACTATAGGCAGAGAAGATTGGCCAGTAAGAAACGAAAACTCAGTTGCTGTGGCGAGACGTGGATACGAGCGCCACCGCCTGCGCCCAGACCTTGAGCCGCGCCTTCACGTCGCGCGGATCGTCACCTGCAAAGCGCCCATCCAAATTTCGACGGGCCATCAGAGTTTCGCTCCTTCAATTCGTATCAAGAGAGAACAAGTTTCAACTGACGTTGTGCGCTTACCGGGGCTCGAAATGCGCCAGTTGGCGATCGGAGAATTCCCGCCGCTGCTCGTGTCGAGCGTGGATCCGGAGATCGAGAGCCGGCTCGGCATCTCCACCATCCGCTCGTGCTCCAACTCGAACCCCAGGTCCCTGCACGCCTTCACCTCCTCCAAGTCCATGCACAGGCTCCTCCTCCCTCCCTTGGGCCTGGTTATCACCATCAGCCCTCCCCCACCTCCTCCTTCGCTCTCCCCGCTGAAGCTGTTGTTGCAGCAATGCTCGTCTCTCTTGAGCTTGTCGCTCTCGCCGCCGCCGCCGCCGCCGCCGCCGCTCGCGAATCTCTCCCTTATGATCCTCCTCCTCGCGTACTTCCTCACCCTAACGGACGTCCGCCCTTCGCTCTCGCTCGCGTACTCCTTCAGCCCCGCCGATCCCCGCTTCGCCGGCCCCCCGCGGCTCCTCCGCCGCCGCGGCGTCGCCGGGAGCGAGTAGCACTCCGGCTCCCCGCCGGAGTCCGACGTCAGCTCGGCCGCCCCCCCGCCCGGCAGCCGCTCCTTCTCGTCCGACAGCTCCTCGTCGGCGTCCCCGTCGAAGCTCTCCACGGACAGCCTCGACAGGTAGCTCGACACCACGGCCGCGGCCCCGGCCCCGACCCCGCCAGTAGCGTCGCCCGCCGCTCCTCCGCCGGCGGCGCCGCCGTAGAAATCCGCGAACGCGTACTCCTCGTCGTCGTCGTCGTCGTCGTCGTCGGCGCAGGAGAAGCTGCTGTTGCACATGGACAGCCGCGAGAGGTTGGCGCGGGCCTGGGGGTGGTGCTGGCCGTCGAGGTAGGGGTCGTCGGCGCCGTCGGAGGACTCGACGTCGTCCTCCGGCACGGACGAGGAGAGGATGCTCGAGGCGGTCTGCCCGGAAGCCATGATGATCAGAGAGCGATCGGAACTCAGATCGGCGAGAATCGATCGATCGATCGACGGAATATATGCAGAGATCACGAAAGTTCTAGAGAGAGAGAGAGTGAACTAGCAGCAGCAGCAGCAGCAGATGAACAGAGTTGTAGAGTGAGAAGTGGAAGTAGATATGAACAGTTTCTTTCCTTGGCTGGCGAGCGAGCAGTTTAAAACAGAGAAGTGTTATCTTCGGAGCGCAACGGGCTCCGTTTCCATCCAACGGCCTTATTTATACGGGATCCCGTTTGGAGACTTTCGGGTTTCCGGTTCTGCCCCCCGCCACCTGTCCTGTTTGCGCTTCCCTTTGGAATCATTATTTTAATTGGTTGCCCTTTTCTTTTTTTTTTTGGGGGGCCTTTTCGTCTCGTGGATATGCATTCGGAGATGTGCGATAAGGACTAAGGAAGATGGGTTCGGTAGGACTATTCAAATCGAGCCTATAGCCATAATAATCGTTGTGTTAAACTCCAACATCATTTGGTAACCCGACATTTTAGGTACGTAGGTAGATCTCCGGCTCCCGTTCGTAGAGCCGGGCAATTTGAATTCGGTTTGATCGGATGAGGAGTGGGTCGGTCAATCTATCCAAGTTGATCCTGATTTGAGTCCATCTGAATATTCCCTTTCATTCGAATTTGCATATAGATCTCGAGATAGCTGATTCGATCGGGGGTTTACAAATTATGCACGGATAGAGACATGACTATCTAAAGTTGATGGATTGATGCGAGTATTAGAATATTAAAATAAGGTTTGAATTTTTAGAATAGTTGATAACTACAGGTTTCACAAAATCTGATTTGGTACTTGTGCGAATGAGCGAGCCATGCGAGGCTGAACCGTGGACACTTACCTAGGGAATTTTGCTGCTGGACAATGGACGGGGAGGCTCGGAGGGGCAGTACGGCCGAGCACGGGGGACGAAAAGAAAAAGGTGACGGAGACGTGTGCGCGCACGAGTTCGCAGGAGCAGTGCCGAACGAACGACAATTATTTGCCTCGCATGCGCACGCCCTCGTCCACTCTTTTTGGGGTTCTGGTCTCTCTGTCTGCCGATATTTCTTGTAACTCCTCCTATTTGCTTACGAGGATGGCAACCAAAACCAGGAAAACCCAAAAAAAGGTAAAATTGAACAGCAGGGAATTCTTCACGAGGATGAAAATGGAGGGAGAAAGGATTCTCTTGTCTGGCGTTAATGGCTTTCAACTTGGGACAAAGGGAATCTCAAGTCATGTTTATCGAATATCTCGAATTGGACGAGGCGTTTCATGCGCCGGTTTTACAACGGTTGTGCATTGCAGTTATGCAAACCAATCAATCATGCTCTTTAAATATTGAAATACTCCACGTGTCACTATAACGCAATGCAATGTATCCTCAAGTACCTCTTCCCCCTCATACGCGTACCTCTATCTGTGACTCCGGCATGTCAAATTTTAAAATCCTTGCTCCGAAAACTTTAAGGAATAAGCATGTTAGGTGGTCTTGAGTTTCTCCCACCCCAAAAGCTAACTCAAACCTTCTACATTCAATGTGGGACAATGTAACTCTCCTGCATGACTGTTGGTTCCATACTTGTTGGCTATCTAGACTCTGATACCAGTGTATAGTGCTATTGGGTCTCTTTCACCCTAAAAGCTAACTTAAATGGTAAGACTTTTCCTTACACTTATAAACCGACCAGCCCTTTTCACATCCAATGCGGTACAACTTCAAAATTAGCAAAATGATGAGGAGTGTTAGAATAATTAAATATTAAACCACGTTTTCATTTAATAGCTTAAACTTTTAGAAAAATTGGCTGTAAAATCTCATCAGAGTTGAAGGTCTTAAGTTCAAATCTTTCCAGGCCCCATATGCCTCTCCAATTAAATATGCCCACGGTTAATACTAGGCAAAATGACCCAAAAAAAAAGGGTCTCTTTACTCATGTGACCTCTATATATTCACAATACTTTGAGCCCGCTATTATTTGGCAATATATTTAAAATTTTTGTTAATGTCGACAAAAAATGTGTAATTAGGTAATTTTATTTTTCGCTAATTTGAGGAGGCATGTTATCAAGTAAAATCGAAAAAATTCGCATCCGAATGGATATAAGCCGTCCTCCAAATTGAACGCACACATCCATATTTATCACAAACAATTTTCACGCGCTCGATAAAAGGGGAAGAAGAGAAATCGGCACGTGGCGCGTTTTCATTGGGCGGAATTCAAGATCGCAGTACCAAAACTGCCCCTCCAGTTCCACGGGGCGGAGGCCCGGACGGCAGGGGCAGTTTCGGCAGCAGATAAGATGGCCCGCGCCCCCCCAAGTCCCAGTGTCCGCGGCACGAGCCGCACGCGCCGTCTTACGCCCCCGGTGACGTCAGCGAAACCGCGTTTTTTCCCTGTGGGGGTGGGCGCGTGGGGGGTACAGGTGTCCGCGCGTCTCTCTCTTTCTCTTTTTCTTCCCGGCTCGTCCGATCCCCCTCGGGCGTTGGGGGGGGGTTGAGAGAATGCGACACGTCATGGCCCACCGGGGCCCACGCCACCCGTCCTCCGCGCGCCACGTCACGCCCCTCCCCCTACCCCCTCCCCTCCCCACCACACGTACCGTGCTTATCGGACACTCCGGGGGTCCCTCCAAAAGGGACCAGCTGTAGGAGGCTGTAGGCTTGTAGCTTTCTCTTCCCCTCACACGTTTTTGGATATTTTGATGAAAAAAGCGTGCGTCCTTTGTCTGGTCGAAGATGAAAAAGTGCCCTAGAAAGTCACCCCGTAGTACATAAAAAAAAAAAATTAATATCAAGAAAAACAAATCTCAAATCGATATATCCGTAATAAATTTATTCAAAATTAATTTTTTTGATAAATAAAATCTCAAACTTGTACACTTATTAACCGACACGTTTCATTTAACTGGGAAATTTAACGGATAGTAAAATTGTCACAGGTGTGTCAGTTTGGAGTTTTTGGTGGTCAAAAATTTAGTTTTTGATAAATTTGTCTATCGATTTGTGATTTTTCGTGGTATTAACCTTATAAAAAAAAGGGTATAAAACTATCTAGAATTTAATTAACAGAGATGGGCGTGGGAATCGATATCGTATTAGAGAATTCGGGTTGAACTGATAAGTGGAAAGAGACTATTACGTGTGTATATAAAGAGCATATGAACTTCATTATCGAGCTGTGTGCCTGGTATTTCAACAAAGTGAATTGAAAACCAAGGGCGCGTTTGTTTCGCCGGAAATGAATTATTTGGAAAATATTATCCTAAAAAATGATCATTTATATCAATTATAAAAATGAATGAACGAAAAATATTTGCATCATCAATTGCGATAAAAAAAGACCGTTCTTGTTGACTAATTATTTCAAACGATACAATCGATTATTTTAAAAGAAATGTTTTGTATATCATTTATTTTTCGCTAAATAAATGAAGCCAAAATCTACTAACTTTCTCTTTGTTTGAGATGAGTTTCAAATCGAACCCAAATCTTCTATGTTAGAATATTTAAATAATAAATCACGCTTTCATCTAACAGCTTAAACTTTTAAAACAGTTAGCAGCAGTCCCAACAAATTCTCTATCTTCTTTTTTCCTTTGTGTTTTTGTTTTACCTTTTGTTGATTTTATTATTAGCTCGCTATATTTCAAAAAAACACAATAAGATTGTTAATTTCAGATAGAGAAAGAAAAAAAAAAACTCCACAATCGCAACATAACTTATGTATTCTCTCAAAATCTACAAAAGAATATGTACTTCATATTTGAAAGCAAATATAATTTCAATCTAAATGGAAAGGTGATAAGTATTATCATCACGTTAATAAGGTCCCACAGTTTGAATCATTTAAATAACTTCAGCCTTTTTTCCAAACCTTGGATGATCTCATTTATTAAAGTCTTATTTTTCACTTTTCAACCGCATGAAATGACAGGTCAGCGTGTCGCATCGGCACACCAATGGTGACGGGTAACTGTAGGACTCGATTGTACAAACAACGAAACTTGGAGGACTCGATTGAACAATATCAGAATTAGAGAATCAAATTGTACTTAACGAAAGAGAAAAACAAAATTGGTTTGTTTTTGCTTCGGTTCAGTCCTTTTCTTTTCACCCCTACGTGGCGGTTCCTTCTGGTGAACCTTGAAAGAGACTGCCGCATTCTTTCTCCAAGAGATAGAGAGGTTTATTTCTTTCTTTCGCAATGAGATCTTACAAAATCAACGTGAATTTTGAACAATGATCCGCGATAATTTCCATTTTTAAACCGGACTAATGCGTGGGTTTTGTGCCTTAATTATTGAGTTGATCAAGTCTGATGTAATCTGTCCAAGGTGGACTTCGGTGTTATTTTAAAAAAAATAAGTGTTGACATTCAAAAAAATGACCGACTTTTGATTTTAATAAAACGGCTAACAAGCTTCGTCGATAATAGCAGTTTGATTAATATCGATAAAAAGAACAATCGATAACTTGAGGAGTATCAATGACGTAAGAAGTCATCGAAACCAAACATCGATTAGCTGGTGATGAAGTCATCGACATCGACATGTAATGGCCAAAGTATCGATATTTTTGAATATATAAGCTCTTTTAGATTTCGAAAAAAAAAGGGAGGGTTTTTTAGATAAGTACTGCTACATAATAGAAAATTGCGGATAATGTAAAATTTCTTGCAACCACATATAAGATTAGGAAGTTATTCGTTTTGAATATATGATTAGAAGTTATTTCTTGTAAATTCAATAATCGCCAGTAACCGTCGATTGTAGGCTTTAAATAGCCACGTCATACTCTTTGTTAACCATGAACAAATAACAAAAACCTTATCATCTTTCAATTCCTATACCCTAGTCGCAGTTTCCGGATATTTCGTCATCATCGATTAAACTCCGACGTGTATCTTAGTCCTAACTTTCAGATCTTTGTCGTCGATTAAATTCCGACGTTACATCTCTACGTCGGTGATTAAATTCCGTTGAAGCATACCCGTTTTTTTGTACTCCATTGATAAATCTCACGTTCGGAATTGCCACGGAACACGTCTCCTCTTAATAAGATCGAGGAACGAATTTGTTGGTGGGTCAAATTCCGGCTAAACAATAAGAAATTAATTATATTATTTTGCAAGATGGGCAAATAGAAAAAATATATAAATCGAGAGACCCAGGAATGCGGCTATGGTAAACGAATAAATTATA